TAAAGTATTCAAAGGTTACTGTTACGCACTGATAAGGGGGTATCCTGAACTCAGTATATTTATTAGGGCTGTCTGTTATCAAAGATAGATAATATTGAATATATAATTCTTGATCTGTATTTAAATAATGCTACACATACTCTTCTTTGTTGAATTTTAAAATTCTAATTCATTTTGACTGATAAACTTGAGCTGCACTTTTCTACGCATCATATGTGTTTTGAGATTAGAAAATGAATAAAAAATAATTTCAATTTTTTTTGTTTGGCTCCAACTAATTTCAATTTTGAAGATTTTCTAATTGAATTTTACTGAATCCCAAAAATTTCCACCATTTTTATAAAAATATAGAAAATCAATTTACATATCTAAATAAGAAATCGTTTTCGGACGCCCTCTGTTGTTGTACATTTCCTTCGTCCAGATTATATAACCAATATGAAGTAAGTAAATAAAAATTTATATATGTACGAACAAACGAATGAACCGATGTAGAACAGAAATAACATGAAATTATTCATGCAACAATAATTGGGTTATCATTGGATGAATTTTCATGGACATCTTAATTGTTTTAATTGCGCTGAAATATTTCTTCGTTGTTTTGTTTTAAATAATAAAATAAATTTCAAGTTTATTAAATATAGATCGAAATATATTATTTTTTCAAAGTTAGATTATTTATTTTATTTCATTATTGAAAAACCCATTAGGATGAAGCCATCGAACATTTAGAAAAACGCATTTATTATTGCATCATCATGATGTAAATATGTTTTCGATATTCGTTTGATTATTAAAGAGAAAAATATCGTAATTTTTATTTTTTTTCTTAGTTTGCTATTTAATTGCATGACAGACAACGCAATTAAGTTAGTTATGATTTTTTTAAACTTATGCATGTATTATATTAGCAATAATTGATTGTTAGAATTTTTGAAGTTTATTTTCATCAAATACGGAATTAATTCAACTACATATAATCAACATGATGTCGGTTTTAACGAGTGATTGAAAAGTAATTAGACAAAATGTTTATTTTTGTTTTGGCTTTTTAAAGAGTCTATAGATTGGATTAGAATCAGAAATTTTGTATCCTGTCTGAATATGCAATTTTATACGACTTCTAGTTGAAGTGTTATGAAACCGTAAATTGATTTTCAACGAATTTTAATGCGCCAAAAATCAGCCAAAATCGAAGAGAAAATTGTTTAAAATACACTAAATGAATGAGCAAATATTTGTTAATAAAATAATGTGTTAATGATAAGTTAGTTCCAAGTCATATGTTTAACAGCGAGTGTTTTGGTAAGAAACATCATGCCAATTTAGGCATTGCAAAGTGAGCATGGGCATTCCTGAAACTCGTGACTTCTATATCACTCTTTAGAGAATAATTTTGCCTTTACTTCTATGCTGAAAAACAAAGAGTAATAAAGAGTATCTAGTAAAGTGGACTATTGTAATTAAAAGTATCGAATTTTTTTGTCGAAACTAAACTTTCGTGCTTTTAAAAGGCTAGTTCATAATTCATAAATTGAAGCCCTAAAAATATTTGCAATGATATTCGGAAAGAATACAAAATTCTGAATCTAACTCAATCTACAGACTACTTAAAACGGCTAAAAAATAAGCGAACATTTTGTTTCATGACTTCTCAATTACTCGTTAGTTTATCTACAGAATATAAACTTAATCAAAATAAAAAACAATAATAGAAAAAAAAAGTAAAATCTGTATCCTGATCAAACATATAAAAAAGAAAAAACTAATCTCTCCTATTGATTCGAAGATTAAGGATACCTTTCGTTTCGTGATCCAAAATTTTTGTTTTTTTTTTATATGGCCATTGTATAGTTCGAAATAGTATCTATGTACTAAGTACGAAAATAGTGTGCTGTGTTTTTCTCCAAGTAAATTTTCATGAAGAAAGTGCCAAAACGCTCCCATTTCTCCGACCTAAAATATTCAATCCAGCTGAAAACTTTTCCACATGTACTATACACTGATTAGGATGGTAATTTTTTTCAAATATACGCTGTTTTAGAATACTTCTGATACCATGACTTTTTTATTCGAAGGACAAAAAATACAAAGATAACCAATCCAAGCAGTGTTTAATGCTCGTAAAAAAGTTCTCATCTCGATCGAACATAGCTCTTCATAAAAATAGGGGCAATTTTTTCTCATGGTGATCCCAGTATCGTATAGAAGGTAGCATCCGAAAACTTTGAGTTTATGATAAATTTTTTCTGCTCGTCAAGAACTATCTGTCCTGAAAATTTCAAAATTTTCTGATGAGTCGTTCTTCAGAAACTACAGAAAGAGATCGGGGTACCCTTAATTAAAGTAACATATTGGACAAAAGAACCAGTATCTAATTTAAGGTATAACATTTGTATTATATTGGTCTAACGTACCAATCGCTGGTGAGATATTTTTCTGATTTGAAATATATTTTTTGATTGTCAATAAGACCTTTGATTGGTTTCTTTTTCTTGTTGATAAATCGTATAAACGCTGTAATAAATAATCCATATGTTATTCTATTCTTTTGATTGCATTCTGTATCCCAAAACAGACAATCCGAAATGCAAATATTGTCCTTTTTATGTGTATTTAGTTCTTCCAAAATATTATAACATAGGTACTTACCCTTTATATTGATATAATCTGGATTTTGACAAACAACTTCCTTTTTACCTGGTAGGTTTCGTCGGAATGATTCAGGTAAAGACTCAAGGTATGAAAAAAAACGAAAGAAGGAGTTATTATATTTGTATCATGAGTCAAGTCAGCGTCATTTTTTTGTTCCTTTTTTTTCTGATTTTTATTATATAAGACACCTACCAAATGAAACCGATAGCAGTACTTATATATAAGCTAAGTTTATATCACTATTCTTATCACTAGTTTTTTAAGTAAGGATATAAGTGTGTTACAGTGTGTTCTTCTATAACATCTACCTCGATCCTATACATGAGTAAAGTTAGCACCAGATTCAAGTTTTTGCTGTCCGGATTCGTTCGTGTACTTGAGTTATATTTAACGAATCCGGACACCAAATACTTTTCAAAAAATTTTGAAAAATTCAGTATTTCGGGGTCAAGTGCTAGTTTTTGCTCGATGACCCCCCCCCCTCCCCCTTTGATCATTACATCATCGGATTCGCCGTAAAATCCTGCATCTAACTCAAGTTGAACGAAATATAACTCAAGTACACGAGCGAATCCGGACAGCAAAAACTTGAATCTGGTGCTAACTTTACCCACGTCGATCCTATCTATTCTCTTTTCGTTGTTATTTTTCGATTGTCTTTTCGTTTCTTTTATTTCTTTCCTTTGCCATTGATGAACCTCTGTATTCTTCTATATTTTGTCTTTAGTTTTCATGTGCGTATATAAACACTTATTTTGTAAAAGAATAAACAGAGAGAATAAACCACATACACACACGTTCACTGTGTTCGTCGCTCTTCGTGATTGCGAACGCTAACATTTGGCGACCCTGGCGAAACAAGAACATTTAAATTAACGAACAGCAAATTTATTAAAATTCATCAAAATTATTTTCACATGTAGCTGATAAGAGCCTCTATTGAATTGAGACTCGTAACAAGATTACGACTGATCAATTTATTATACAAGTGAATATATCTCTTCCTTAATAATCAAGTGGAACACAAAAAAAAATATTTTTTTTTTCGTTAAACATATCAAAAGCACACAATATCTACTAGTTATTATTGATATGATAATTTTAATAATCGAACAAACGTATGTTCCTGAGGATCTTTTGCCGAAAAGGTTCGCTTCAAAAAAAAAATGTCAAATTAATTGGAATGATTAACTATTATTAGATTAATCCAATTAGATTTAATTTAGCATAGCATGATCGGGGAGCGTGAGTTTTTCTCACTCACTGATTATGAAGGGCTATTATATTTAATTTGGCACATATTTATTAATATTTTATTATTCCATTATACGAAATACAATTCTGAATATATTCAATATTCATTTATTCTTGACAGATTCTCATCCATGGAACCGAGAATCGAGAAAGAAACTAATATTTCGTAACCTGTTTTTCTTGGCATATTAAGCAATCAATGAATCATATATTAATTTCTTGTCACTTAAAAACAAACAAAATTATTGAATATAATATTACGTCATTTACAATTAGTTATGAAAAAATGGTTGATGAAGTTAAACAAAATCAAACTAAAATCAGCTTAATACGTCGAACAACATCTATGACTTCTATTCGTTTATTTTCTCTATATCAAGATCACTTTTTTATTATAATAGTGGACTTTTTTTTCGTTTTTCCTTCTCGTGTATAAGTTTCGTTTGTTTATGTCTACACATATTACCGTTAAATATGTGATATATTTCTGTTAGCTTTCTAGATTGTTGAATTTTTTTCTTTTTCATATTTCGTTTACACTTGATTTTTCTCATACTCTGACCGTATATTCCACAGATTCTCTCGCGTTATAGTTTGTTATTCTTTATGCATTTGATTTTTTTTCTTTTTCAAACATTAACCTGTTTTTTTCAAAGATTTTTTCGTGTTATAGTTTGTTATTTTTCGTTTCTTTTGATGCTAGTCATCTATCTGTCTCTTCGTTTCATTGCTATTTCTATCTTTTCCAAAAATGTTGATAGAGCAAATTTTTTTGTCCAATAGGGAAGTATGTTACAGTGTGTTCTTCTATAACATCTACCTCGATCTTATCTATTCTCTTTTCTTTGTTATTTTCGTTTCTGTCTTTTCGTTTCTTTTATTTCTTTCCTTTGCCCTTTGATTAACCTCTGCATTCTTCTATATTCTGTCTTTAATTTTCATGCGCGTATATAAACCCTTGTTTTATAAGAGAATAAACCACATACACACACATTCACTGTGTTCGTCGCTCTTCGTGAGCGCGAACGCTAACAAAGTGAATGCTCTTTGCTTTATAACAATCATTATTTCAGATATAGTTTCAAACAATGACAGGATCTGAAAATGACCAATTGGAAATAATTCGTTCATCGTTCAAATATTGTCCAAATTTTCCAAAGGAAGGAATTACATTCGTGTATTTATATTTTTTATTTTAAATTAAAAATGAAATGTATTTATCCGTATCTTTGAAAATTTTAGTGATATTTTCGGTGTTTTTGCTAATCCAACAGCTCATCGTGCATTAATTGATGTTATTTTAAATCGTATAAAAAAATTGAATATGAAAATTGAAGCTGTTGTTGCACTTGAAGCACGCGGATTCATATTTGGTCCACAAGTTGCCTTGGAATTGCAAGTACCATTTCTTCCTGTTCGAAAACGTGGAAAACTACCAGGAAAAGTAGTTAAACTTGATTATGATCTTGAATATGGTAACAAAAATCTTTGTATTTATAATAAAATTAAGCTTAGAAAATAAAACTATTCTAGGAAAAGATACCATAGAAATGCAATTCAATATTCTTAAACCAGGAACTAAAGTTCTTTTAATGGATGATTTACTTGCTACCGGTGGTTAGTTTGTTTTTATTATTATTATTAAATCATGCTTAAAAAACACAATTCCTATGTTTTGAAGGTACATTGGGTGCTGCACAAAAATTATGCGTTGAACTTGGTTATGAAGTAGTTGAAACTTTAGTAATAATTGAATTAATTGATTTACATGGCCGTGAAAAATTAACAGATGTTAATCATTTTACAACGTTGTTTCAATTGACAGAAACTGAACTTGCTGCAATTGCAGCTAAATATAAATAATGCAAGAAATGAAATGATGTATGAAGCAGAGATATTAAATAAACTTGGCACAGTTTTTTATTTTGTTTATTTTAATAAACTTTGAATACCTATGTGTGTATTAAATCGTTTCATTAACTAACGTGAACTCAACAAAATAAAAGGATGATGTAGTTTTTATTAGAAAATGAAAAGCTTTACCTAAGATGCAAAAGTAATTGCCAAAATTTTGACCCGTAGTTGTCTGCTTAGGAGCATGGTAGAAAAGTTATGTAAGCATCCTTATAAAATTTCATTGTCTTTCATACTTCAGGAAATTTCTCAGGAATTCTTTAACAGTATATAACACGTAGTAAACGTTTTAGTTCTGATACAAAAGCAATATTTTGAATGAGAAAGGTAGAACATTGAGAAAACCTCTCTCTCTTTTTGGCCATGTCTAGTTCTCGAAAAAAAGTACAACCGGTCCATATGAAATTTTTACCACAGCTTAAACACCTAGAAAAAGAAGACTATAATTCAGACAAACTCTGATTTTCCATAACATATCTCAGAGGTGACTTTAAGCTTTGCCAAAACTCTAGCTTCCATTTTTGTTTTATGAAAAATACTTAAAAGCTCGGATCCATAACCAGGGTACTGACATTCAGCACTCTATAAGTCAGATGACTTATTGATGACAAACTTGCAAAGTTGCAATCTTGAAGTGGATTAAAATATGATTTATCATACTTCATCTGAAAAAGCGATAAAAAATAACTTCTAGTTTCTATAATTAGAGAATTTCAAATGTTATCTGTTATCAACAAAAAAGGTTTGATGTGAAAGATGAATTTGAAGAGAATAGAAGTTGCAAGACCTATTTTTGGTGGCGAATGGTGTCAAACTTTTTTCTCAGTCACAGTTAGTCCAAAAAACCTTTGTTTCTTATGTTTTTTAAAGTTTAACTTTTGTCCTATCAACAAAAAAAAGGATGAACTTTTCACAATATTTCTGGGCGAAGAATTATGGGTCAAGACTTCAGGAATTAGTTTTGCTTCACAGGTGAAAGAAATCAAAATTTAGATAAATCGGAAGTGTGTAATATAAATTTATTTTATTTTCTAGATGCTACGTTATGTTTGACTGGCGGCCATTTTTGTTTGGTGGTCTTGCTTCGAGTGTTGCCGAATTGGGTAAAGTTTTATTGCTTAGAGAAGTTTATACAACATTTTATGTATTTCGCTTTAATTACTCAAATAAAATACTTTGAACATAATGCATAAGCTTAGAACATAGAAAAACATAAGACTAATTTCTTGTGACATTTGTATGATCTTATGAAATTTTTATATAGCAACATTTCCAATTGATCTGACAAAAACTCGCCTACAAATTCAAGGACAGATATTTGATAATCCTAGCCAACAATTAAAATATGCTCAAAAAAAATATACAAATATGTTTCAAGCAGCTTATCGGTAAATGCTTCATAAACAAGAAAATAAATATTCTAGAAAAAAAAATGCACGTTGCTTTTGTTTATCTATTTTAGCATTGGTCGAGAAGAAGGTGTACGGATGCTTTATTCAGGGTATACAATTATTCATTTTGCATGGAACACTGTCAAATGATTTATTCCGTTTGTTCCTTCTTTTTGCCGATATGTAGAAGATCACTAGAGTAGTATAGATTCCCAAGATTTTGTACTCGTCCTTAGATTTTATTAATAATAGATAGATAAATTCTCTTTCACATGAACGGAAACGGATTCTGTATTCGATCGTCAATATCAAAGTAATCGTGGATTTTCTAGAACAACATTGACTAAGATTTTGAGGGTCCTAAAAATAAAATGAAATAAAAAATTCCTTTCCCTCATCAAAAGTGGTAAAGAGCTTTTTTTGAAATGATAATAGCCCGAAAGCTGTAGATTGAAGTCTATTGAAAAAGAAATGTGCGTATGAAAGTCTTCTTTTGCACTATGGCTCCTCAAAGAAAAGGTTTGCCGTCATGAAAATTCTTGTATTAGTGTACTTTCATTAGTCGAACATCCTTAGAAAGTTTCATAGAAATTAATTTTGGAAGACGGAGACAGACTTCAAAGAAAAACGTAGATATATGAAGAAATCTATGTGTTAGCAATACGATATCCAAAACTGATGACAGTTTATCCATGAGTCAGTCTAATTGAGACCTTCATGTGTATAAAGTTTCAGGTCAAAATTCGTGAATATACATTTTCCAAAAATTAAACTCGTGTAGGAAGATGCTACCGATAAGTTGCTATCTCCACCAAATCTAAGAATAGATAAAAATTTTTGGAGACTACACTATTGTAGTGACCTCATGCAAATTAGCAAAACATGGAATCAAATGGAACGGTTCACTTGGAAATGTTCCTTTATTAGTTCATTTTTCGTATTATTCATTTTAATATAATAATTTTCATCTTTTTGTGTTTTCTTTTTAGTGTTTCAGCAGCTTTATTACGTCAAGCAACTTATGGAACAATCAAAATTGGTATATATCAAAAATTGAAACGTCTTTTTGCAGATGATATTCAACGTTTGTATTTTGAACATTGTTATTTTATTATGATTATTTAACTATTTTATAGAAGAAAAACTTTATATTAATGTTTTAAATGGCATGTTTTCTGGTGCATTAGCTAATGGTATAGCAAATCCTACTGATTTATTAAAAGTAAGATAATGTTAAATATATCTATAATTAACTATTGAATTCAGATTCGTATGCAAGCTAATCATCCAAGTGTACAAGGTAAACGATTATTTACTGCCATGATTTCAATAGCAAAAAAAGAGGGTATTCGAGGTCTTTGGAGTGTAAGTAAAATAATTTATATAGTGATCTATATTTATTTATTTTGTTCTTTAATAAAGGGTGTTCTACCTACAGTTCAACGAGCAGCTATTGTTAGTGGTGTTGAATTAGCTGTGTATGATTTTGCGAAACAACAATTAATATGTCGATTTAATAGTTCAGATACAATTGGAACTCATTTTCTATCGTCGTTCATAGCTGGTTTTGCTGGTGCTTTCACCAGTACACCAATAGATGTTATACGAGTAACTTATGATATGTTGTTAGTTCACTTGATTGTATTATTGGTTTTTTTCTTTCAAAGACTCGTTTAATGAATCAAGAAAATTTACAGTCACGTGGTACGTTAACATCAACTTCAATACCTTATAAAGGTATTATAGATTGTTTTATTAAAGTAAGATTTCTTTTTTTTCTATGAATGTTAATCATTTTATAATAATTCTTTATAGACTACTCGAAATGAAGGCTTTTTTGCATTATACAAAGGTTTCTTTCCTTCTTGGCTTCGACTAGGTCCTTGGAATATTGTTTTCTTTATTGTATTTGAACAATTAAAAGCTTTAGATAGAACATTCGAGAACAAAAATTCTAGGAGAATAGATCAACATTTATAATTGTATCACTTACAATTAACTATTGATACAAGCCATTATTCTCAAGTCCATTAATCTTCTATCTCCATTTGTTCCACTGACCTGATTTTCCAAATTATTATTACTTGTTCTTCACTGATATAATTTAGTCATTAGACTATTAATCAAGCCAAAAAAATATATACCAGTACAACGAATCCGTTTTTCGTTTTTTGTTGCATTTATTAAACTTTATTGTTCATACTTTATGTTGCATTATGAAAATAAAGAAGAACAGTATCACCTGTTTAGATAATCTTCTACGTTTATTCTTACTTGACATTTCAGATATGGATTAGAATATGGATTAAATAACAATTCGAAAAAGAAAAATATATAATAAAATATAATATAAATAATGATGACATCTATATTTTAAAGTACTTTTTTGTTATTCAGATCAATGACGCTGGCAGTTGAGTCTGTGAAATTTCGGTATAATTTTCTGAACTCTTTCAGTCGTACTTCATTGGTATAAACAGTAGTGTTTCTTAATTCAAAATATTGTATGTGTAATGTTCGTCTACTATTACAGCGACATTGTCATCAAAATAAAGATTCGGTTTAGCTTGAATACAAAGAATTTATTTTATATCTAGCAAAACCAATTCATCAATTCAAATCAAAGATATCTGTCTCTATAAAGAAGAGCAATTATCAAAACACACATAATCGAATTGTATATAATCTAATAGTTCTCTAATTAAGCAGTATGTAAATCATAGATGACCTATACACTACTGGTCTGTTGTGAAATAATGTAACAATTATTGGAATTACATCCAATGTTGTGACGTTTAGGAATGAATATTAATAATAATGATTTTGGTACAGTTATAAGCTATCGTATAATCTTTGGCACTGATATATGATATTATATAATTATTTTTATTCAAACTGATTAAAATTCTTATTAGTGTAATATTCTTGATTCTACTCGATTTTATGAAGATAATATTTGAGTGTCAGATAGAATACATCGAGAAATATATTTTCATAATAAATTTTTCAATTTTCCTATCTAGTAGTGACACAGATCGATTCCAAAGAACTGATTATTAGAAGCTTCACCTTAATTATTTCATAACTATGTCAAGTTTGCTTCGTTTACGGATAAACTGAGAAAAATGTCATGTTGCTTTAAATGCGTGTATGAATAAAGGAAACTGAGGCCGGTTGTGGGTGTGGTCGATGAGAAGATTTTCATCGCACCCACATTCTCAAAGTGATAGATTCGCTTAAGTGTAGTCTCATACTGAAAGAACACACCAGAATGCATCGAATGTTATTTTCAAAAGCTTGTAATATTGAACTTTGTTACACAAAATTTTCTTGTAATTCAAATAACGAAAGATGTACTTTTTCGAACGCTCAAGCTAATCTATTATGCTGATTCGATCAACTTGCTTTGTCTGCATGAACATGCCTTTTAGAAATGACATATAGTGATGGTTAAAAAATACCCTATGAATATGTTTCTTCAATAGCATAAAAAGGTAATCCATGGTCGATACCACCTATTTAAAAACAATCTGTTGTATAGTTCTTATTGTGCTGTAGAAAATAAAAACTTATTAAAAAGTATTACACTACAAAATACTCGAAATGTAGTTGAGCACTTATCTAGACTTGCAACGTCTATATCTCCAAAATGGTTCATCCATTTGAGCTGCAATTTTCAGTTTGGTAAGATTGATTGAGCAGTACTGGTCGTAAACCAGATAAAATATCTAATAAGATGCTAACAAAACATAATATTGTAATTTTTTATCCGATTTATTTCACTAGTTTTATTTAGATATTCATCTAATGACAAAGAATATTTTTCGTAATGTTTCTTTAAGCTTAGAATTCTTTGATTCGAAGAAATAAACTTTTATGTTTGTTTAAGTGCGTTTATCTTGTTGTCAAGTTGTCTAATTGTAACCATGTTTTCATTTGTAACCAAACTACCTAAACGAAATCTTGTGTCATTATATTTAGAAATTGGAAAAAGACAAATCTTGACAGTATTATCTATTATATGAAATGAGAAGATTAATCGATAATGAGTAATACGAAATCACTGAAAATACTAAAACAAAGTTGCTTAATGATTGAAGCACAAAACAAAATAAAGCTCTAGATAGTAATTTCTTACAAACAATAATAACATCATTCTGAAATAGATTCATATAGAAATATAATTTTAAAAATCCTTGCTTTCAGTACAATAACATCACCGTCTAGTTTATTGTACTGGTTAATAGTTAATATTACAAACAATAGATTCGATTTATATCTCATAGGTTATCATGATTTCATTTTGTATTAATACGAAGAATATATTTTTAGTGCGAAATTTCCTTATTAATCATAAAATAACATGATTATTCTTTATACGGTCATTTTCACCTGATTGGATCATCATCGACTTTCTACTTGAATAAGCTTTGGCGCACAAAACGTTCGCAACATTCTTTTCCCCTTTTTCAATTCATGTCATTAGAAATATGAGGTATTATCTTCAACTATAATAGAAGAAAAGCAATTATCAGAAAATAGAATATTAATATTTATTGATGTCAATACCTGATGAATATTGCGTTATAAAAGAGGTGACAGTATAACTACTCGCCTATATAAGTATATGTTTGATAGGTAATGAAATAAAGGATATCTCTTTTATTTATCGTATGAAGGACACATCAATCAATGAACGATACGATAAATATCACCTTTTTAAATAAACCAAGTGCTTATGAGATAGACAATATTATATAAGTGGATAAAACTTTTTTTTATCATACCGTCTCATACGTTTCATTTTTTTAGTTGTCAAGGTTTTTTTCAACAGATTGACAGAAATATAATATCGAACCATATATAAATATATGTAAGACTCATCATCCATGAATATTTCAGGTTGGTGTCATATCTAACAGGTCAAATCTCTAAATTATTATTATTGTTTTTTTTTTCTTTCTGCTACCTTATTATTTATTACCTAGACACACATTGTGCATGAAATACAAACAAACCATCATTGAAAACATTTTATATAATAAACAAATACAGATGGTTTATTTCGTCTTCGATTATTATCATTAGCTGATATGAAAGTAGACTTTCTCAAACAAGAATGTTAGAAGAAAAAGTGACCACTATTACATCTAAACAGGTATTTAAGATAAAAAATTTTATTCGTTTTTTATATGCTCATATTAATCTGTTACTTTTAGAACAATCAATCAGAAGTAAACAATAACAATAAAAAATCAGATTTAAATGCAGCATCTTATATTGTTGAGTATGGTCCAATTCGTGTTCGTCATCGACGAAGTAAGTCGCAGACATTGGCTACAGGTCGCAAATCAAGAGATGAACCATTGTATGGCGAAGAAGCAATAAAACGTGAATTAAGACGTGAAAAAAATCGTATAGCTGCTCGTCAGTTAAAAAGAACTAGAGATGAAATGGAATCGGACCTTCTTGAAACGATTAAAGAACTTGAACATGAACAAAAATGTTTAGAAGAACAACATAAAAAATTAGAAGACCGTAAAGCACAATTGACTAGAGCTGTATATAATGCTAAACAAACTCCGTTGATTCCATTAATTACTGATATGAATATTCCTATACTATTCGGACCACAAGAACGACGTGATCTTTTAATTGATCTTCAACCATTACTGAAAATTCTTGATGAAAAATGTTATATGTCTGAGAAATAATTTTTCATATCCATTTCGTTGTAATATGGCTTGATTTTAATAAAAGACAAAGAAAAATCATCTTAAAAAAAATTGAAGATAGAATTTATGAGACCATCGAATATCATGTCAATATACAAAGAACTCGGTAAACAAAGACTTTTCTTCTAATCATTATCTATCTTGTACTAATTTCATATTCTTATGAGAAAAAATAGCCAAAAATACTAAATAAAATGTGCACACATTTTCTCGATGAATTATGCAATTTTTTTTTGAGATACACAAATTAAAAATCGAACATAATTATCTATTTTTATATAATATAATGTTCGATCGACTCGACCTTTCTAAGGTCAACATAAATGAAAAATTGTTCTTTCGACGATTCTAAAATGTCCATTTATTTGACGATAACCTATCTCGTATCAGGATTTAAAATCGAAGGCTTCCAAGCTAAATTATAGACATATTACGCAACTTTTTATTCTCTACAGGATCATAAAAAAAATATTCAAAAAACATTTTAGGTACAGGATCAAACGAGGTTCATATTGATCTCCTATAGAATGTTTTTTTATGCTTTTCAACAGAAAAAAATAAATTTTTAGCTGTTTTCAATTTCATGACACAATTGTAAAGAAAAATAGATATGATATTTATAATCTTTATCAAATACATTTCAGAGAAAGTTTTAGTGTGAAAAATATTCACTCGTGCTCCCGAAAAGATTTTTTTAATTTCGTTCCTATGAGTCAGTTTTTTGGAAAAAAAACATTTTCTCTAAAAATCTATTTCATTTAATGCAGCTTTTGATATTGATGCTGAATATCGTATCTATTTTGCTTTACAATAATTTTATGACAATGAGAATCGCTAAAAAAAATTTTTCTACTGCAAAACAATCAAAAAAATTATATAGGCGACAAATATGAATCTGATTTCACCTCACACACACCATTTATTTTTGAATATTTTTGTAGAGAATAAAAACTTGTAAATCTTTGATTCTGAATCTCGATAGAATATAGATTGTTATTAAATGGACATGCTAGACTCATCGATAGAGCCATTTTTCATACCTGGTGATGTTATATTATATTAAGGTAGTTTATTGTATTCGGTCTTTAATTCGTATATCTCATTCAAAACATCTAGGATGATTCATGGATACAAAAAGGAGTGCAACCTTGACTAGGTACTTTTTGCTGTTTTTTTTCTCGTAAAAGTACAATAATGGTAAAAATTTGACATTGATTTACATTTGAAACAGAGATCGAAACAAAATAAGAAAACCTTCATTCGGATTCGATTCGATTCAGACTTACAGAAAAAAAATTCTTCAATGTTCTCTTCCTAATGTTCTTTTTTGAACAAGCTACTTACTTTTCTGTTTGCCCAGCTGTAGCCAATTTTTTTGTTTTTCTTTATCTATTTATAAAAAATCACCTGTAGAAAAAATTGAATGCTAAGAAAATTAGTCAAACAAAAATATAATGACATCTAGTTCCAGTAGAAAATTTTATTTCAAATGAATAAGTTAAGCACATGTAAAAAAACTATACGCAGACGTTACTCAACGATCTAGAGGTTGTTTGTTCAAAATAAAAATCTCTTTTTTATTATTTAACTTATCATAGCAAAAAGTTTTCATGAAATCGCAAATAAACGACGATGAAAAAATTGTCGAATCTATCACATAAATATTTAAATTATAATAAATGTTTGTGTCATTTGATTACATATTCGGAATTGGCACTTCTGTTTACAACAGACACAAGGACTTGATTATAATTTCTCAACTGTTATTCTTTTCTTTTGTATCTGTTTTAACTTATTTGAGTCAATGAGAAATTTCACGTAATATTATTAAATCAATTTAATTAGTGTGTAATTATACAATCACATTTGAAAGTTTGACATCTAATTCTTCTGTTTCAAGGTTTCTTGGCTATTTTTCATAGCAAACTATTTTCGTTCAATAGGTTTGTTGCAATCAACTCTTACTCAATGGTTGTGCAAATAGGATAATAAGAACTGTCATCGAGCAAAATACTGAATGATGAGAATTAGTATTTAATGCGGTGCGAAGCACAGCATTTATTTTCTCTCATTTTTTTTTTTCTTAAAGATTGTTAATGAACGCCATCTAGTATTTCTCATAACTAATGTATTTTATTATTCTGACGAGATATGACTACCAATCATATTTAATTGACTGTTTTTGTTTTCACGGATGAAAAAAATACTTTATTCTGTATTTTCCTATCGTGTTGGTATTTGTCATAAATTCATATTTCATAAGATAGAACACTGACGAGTATTCTTAATGTATTTGAAGATTTAAATGATTTGTTTTCTTTTCTAAGAATTATTTTAAAAAAAAGAGGAAATCTAAACATTTATTTATTTATTTATCTTTGATATCTGAATAAATATAAAACCATTTTAGATAAATTGAAACAGAAGAAAAAGAAAACAATGACATCCTTAGATCAATTTGTTGGAAATATTCGACAATTATCAATAGATGGTAAATTTAATGATTTAGCACAAACATTAACAAATCCAAATCTTGATCATCTTAGTAAAAATATACAACATATTGATTCAATTATTGCTACTTTTACGTTACCTGAATATTCAATGGTAAATTTAAATTTTCAACAAAAAAAACACTAATATGATTGTATTTATTTGCTTGCTTTTTTTGTTTTTAAGTGTATGTTAGCTGGTTTACATGCAATAACAAAAGCACCAAATATACCTGATTTTGATTTATTTCTTACACAAGTTGATACATTTATTCAAACATGTTCAGCTGAACAAGTTCATTATTTACCTCAATATCTATGTGAAATATGTCATGTTATTACAGAACGACTTCGAAAGGAAAATCGAGCTCGAGTTGGTAAGTTTGTTAAAACAAATCCAATTATGAGAAATTTGTTTTCATTGAGGATATAAGTTAATAAGTGGAGAAAGAAATTGTCTAGAAATAAATATGATTACAACATATTGACTTGAAGTTTGTTTTTTGCTTTATGTGATCAATAACCCTGAAATTAAAAAGAATATTACATGATAGAAAACCAAGCTTGTCGATTATCAAATATATTGAATAAAGTAATGAATATCGAGGAAACGAATCTATGATGAATGACAATGCAAAGCAAAGATAGAACAAGCATCTTTTACTATCAAATATTGTATAATCAACATGGGATATTAGCATGTGCGCTTTTTTTTGAGATATTATATGCCATTTACTTAAAAAGAAACGAACTTTATAAGTCTTGTATCACTAGTGTGCAGAAGATGGCCTTCACATATTGTTTGGATGTTATTATCGCTTGATATTTTGTTATTCTTTTCATAGTATTATTTTTACGTTTTTGTTGTCTGACATATTCTTTTTCGACATTTTGAACTTGAAAGATAATACAGATTCACTTGATAATCTATTCTATTCATGAAAAATTATTTGAATTACTTGATGGATTATATAAATAAGAAAGAATTAGCTTTCGTCAATATATCGTTCAAGTATATTGAGCAAAATATAGTTGATCATCAATTTCTGTACTTCATTTTAGATGGAGTAATTTCGGTGTAGCTCAATTATCATATGAATTATTCATAGAAGAAATTTGACTTGCGTAGAGACATTTTCCTTTTTCTTTTGATTTAAAACTTACTCAGTTAAGTGTTATACTCTAGAGTCACTTTCCTTCGTATTAATTTATCATGTAAAATGATACAAAGAAAATGTTACATAATCTGTTCTTTTTCATAATATTAAATCGGAGATCAAAAACTTAATGAACTTATTAAATAGACGAAAATAATTTTACAGATAAATTTTATGATCTAAATTATGAAGAGATTTGTTTATATCTATGAATGAATAAACATGAAAACATTCAAGGGGTGAACTTTTGTAACATTTAATTTAAACACAAAAAAAACAAAAAACTATCTTTCATACTATAAATAGGAATTCCTATTCTTTATCGAGCTATTGAATTACTTCGTCGTGAACCTGGTCAATTACTTTCCATACATTCTGATCTCTATCAGCTTTGTCTTCTTTGTCAATGGTTTGAACCAGCATTAACATATCTTGATATCGATATAATTGATATTAATCGTGAAAATGGAAAATTCGATGTTAAACATCTTTTACTTGCTTATTATTATGGTGGAATGATTTATGCTTGTATAAAACAATTTGATCGTGCAGCAAATTTTTTTGAGAATGTTATTACTGTACCAGCTACAGCAACATCAGCTATTGTTATAGAAGCATATAAAAAATATGTTCTAGTTAAATTAATATCTGGTTCAACATCAAATAATCAATTACCAACATTTACAAGTCGAACAGTTCAACAAGCAATAAAAAGTTTATGTGGTGCACAATATACAGAATTGTTTAATATATTTAATAATGGTACATTAACACAATTTGATGAATTTGTTAATCACCATCGAGAACAATATGCACGTGATAGAAATTTAGGCTTAATAAAACAAACACGGAATGCATTTATATGTAATAGTATACAACAATTAACAAAAACATTTTTGACTGTATCATTAAAAGATCTTGCTAATCGTGTACAACTTCAATCAACAAATGAAGCTGAAAAATATTTAATTGATATGATTGAAAATGGACAAATATTTGCATCAATTAATAAAAAAGATGGTAAAAATAGAATTAATTTTTTTCTTGTTTACAAAAAAAAAGTCCTCTATTTATTCTTATTTTGTTTATTTTAGGTATGGTGATATTTCATGGTTCACCAGAAAAATTTGATGCTAATAATATGTTATCAAAATTACAAGATGAAACAGAAAAACGTATGTTGACTGAAAAACAATTAAGAGAATTAGAACGACAAATATCATTAAGTAAAGCATATATTCAACGTACGCAACAGTCAAGTCCTTATCATGATCGTCCAAAAATACTTAATTAATACATGAACTTATTTGAAAATTGTCTTTTTCTTTTTTTTTGGACTTTTATTCATAGACTTATTATAAAACAAACACATTAAACAATCGAGAAAGAAAATTTAACCTGTAAAAAAAACAAAAAACAATCAAGATTCTTTTTTTTTTTTCTTGTATTCTTCGTATTCTTTGTAGATTATATATGTAAATAGGCTATATTTTTCTTTCGAAGACTTGATATTCTTACAACAATGCAAAACGATTTATCACCAATTCCATGGCCGAATACACTTCGTGATAGTAACGATGTAGAGAATAATTATTTCATGTTTCGATTTATGAATAGTGATTGTTTTTTAAGATGCCACCAAAAACATCCGGCTTTAGTTTACCTTCATTATTAAGCAATGAACCGATGGATATTGATGTTGAACATCATCAATCAATTATTCGATCGATTGAACCTGTTCACTTACAAGCACAAACTAATAATTCTTTAAATCAAAATCATGCTATTCATAAAGTATGTTAAGTATTGTCTTCTATTTTATCGCTTTTTTATCGAATAGTTTTTTCCTTTTCTTTCTTTTTGTAATATATAAGATAGATTGTTTTTTTTTACTCACCGATAGTTAAAAACACCAAGAACAGAACGAAAAAAGCACGAAAACTTATTTTTATAGGTTTGTTTTTTTTTGCAATGAGAAATCTATCTTCGTTCCTATGAGCAACTAACAAAAAAATTTCATATTGAGTCTTCGAATAAAATAATGGCAGATAGAAAGACGCAAAAACGTTCGTCATCACCATCATCTGTGACGCATTTTTTAACTGAATTTCAACGTATATTCAAATCACAAGAGTTAGAAAAAATAGCTGTAAGATTCACATATTCGAATTAAAAATGATTTCGTCTATATACTAATAAATGATGTTAAATTTCTCTTTGTTTTTAATTTTTTTAGCCATTGATGAAGTCAATAATTCGATCACCTGACAATGATGATGAAAATCCTTCATTAGAACAAAGGGAACATATTTCTAACGGAAGTTTAATAAATGATAATAATTCAATATTAGAAGCATCTGGTTATGATACAACTCGATTAGCAGAAATTGATTCCGATGCACAATATGCTCTTCAACTTCAACAAGAAGAATATGCAAGAGATAGTTTTATGCCAAATCAAAATTCATTTTTTCCATTTCATATACAAGAAGGTGATGAATCATCTATTGAAAACTCACATCCATTGTTTGATACTACTGAGCGACATTTCGAAAATGATGAACAATATGCAGCATATTTACAAGAACAAGAAAGACGATCTAGTCAACGACATCGTCAACGACCATATATTCAATTTCGACAACAATCAAATCCTGAATCGTCTGAAACTTCAGAAACTATTGCAACAAACATTCAACCTATTCGACCGTTCGTGGGAGTTCGCCAACGACAACCTTCAAATAGTGATAATGATAATAGTGACGAAGATAATCCTTATATGACAATTTCTAATCCAATTTTGCAACTTCTTGCTACTCAAGGTCAACATTTCCCAGAAAATTTAGCTTCAATTTTTCCTGGTTTTCGACCACGTGGTCATCGTCGTACAGGAAATCTTCAAGACACTGAAGAAGATTTTGGCCCTGAAGATTATGAAGTAATTAAAAATAAATTCGATTATAAATATAATCTTTATTTTTCTAGCGATTACTTCAACTTGATGATACAATACATAAAAAAAAATTAACTGAACATCAAATTAGTAGTATTCCTAAAGAAAAATTTATTCCGAACTCACATAATACTGAAGAAGAAAATAAATGTGGTGTATGTCTGGAACTTTTTGAAAATAGTCAAACATTACGTCGATTTCCATGTAAACATATATATCATAAAGAATGTGCTGATCGTTGGTTACAAGTAAAGATTTCTAGTTTTGATGTAATTAGTTTATCTGTATATTTTAAGGAAAATAATGTTTGTCCCATTTGCCGAGAACCACCAGTTAAAGTAACACCATCATCATCAAGTCAACGCCATCATAATAGAGTTTTCAACAATACGAGACGACCAACATTTAATCATCGACCATTTGGCAATCGAAATCATAATAATAATAATAATAATAATAATAATAATAATAATAATATCAATAATAATAGCACTGCTCATAATAATAATAATCATCGAAGAGGACAGCCACCTCAACATCAATCGTGATATTTGTTAAATTATTCATTGCGTTTATATAAACTTTTGATATATATATATATATGTATTTGTGTGTGTGTGTGTGTGTATAACTATTTATAATGAAATCTATTCAGTATGAGAGCCTGCAGAGTATTTTTTTTCCTTTATTTAATCTTAAATGTCATACAAATGAAGCATTCATCGTTTTTTTCGTTGTTGTACAAACAAGAGACGAGTAAATTTATATAAGAACAAAGAAACGTATATCCAAGAATAAAATCAATGAACAATTCGTTGTAGTATTATTTTATTGAAATATTTGAATAAGCAAGAAAAATTGATTTCTACATTATGTATTCTTTTTTCAGATGATTTATTCTACTGATGAACAATATGAAGGCAAAAAAGAAATGATTCTTTTTTTTTCTATTCATTTTTACTTTTTAGATTCATCAGCATCAAAATTAAGCAATGAAAATTATAATAACCATGTTTCTCGCTCTGCTAAAGCTGTAAAAAGCACACGATCACAAAGAATACCATCTATATCTTTAGTAACCATGCAAGAAGATCATGACTATGATGAACGTAAGTCTTGATTTTAAACAAATTACTTAATTCAGAATAATTATTTTTATAGCACCATGTCCTAGTTTTGATTTACATCTCTATGCACATATTGATCGTTCATCTCTAAATCGATGCGTTTTTACACCAATTCCTCATCAAACAGGTGAAAAGAAAAATTTAATTTTCATAAGTAATTAATTCTTTGCATTTTGAAAATATTTATAGCCTTACAAGATGAACAATCACAACCAATATCACGTAAACGTAAATTTGAATCAGTCGATTCTGCTAATGAATATATTAGAAATGCAAAATTTGGTAATGACAATGGCGAATTAGCTAATATTATATATAATATGGATATGCGTCTTGATCAACTAACACGTACATGTAATGGATTACGTTCAAGTATGCATACATTGATGAAAATGGTAACACAATTAGTTAGCAATCATACACAAGTAAATATATCAATTTTAAAGTCAATTTCCACCTATCTCATCAAAAAACCGACCTTGCAACAGATGCATTCAAATTGCATGTAATTTTCAGAATATGTTAGTGCTGTAGTCAAGAGACCATGGTGAATTTTCAGCCTGATATCATGATATTTTTGGGAGATATACAATAAATAAAGGTCTAAATTTACTCATTTGGCAACATTAAATTCGCTTTGGACCTTTCTTCTGTATACTTGAACTCTATTTCTTTTTCAATTCTTAGTGTTTAAGAGGAGTAAGTCTCAATGTGTAAAAGCATTGTGCTCTAATTCTAAAAGTAATTTTTTATATACTACTGTCCGTTTCAAAATAAAAGGCACCTCACTATTTTTCGAATAACTTTTGATAGGAACAAGATAGAGAGCTGCGGTTTTCACCATTCGAAAGAGCTATGTCCGGGCCGTCGGTCGGTATAAAACTTATCAAGACGAAGCTTGCTTTTTTATAGGTGCTTTTGGATCAACATTTTTTCCTTTGAATATTTTGATCAATTTTGACAATAATTTCAACTGAAATTATGTCAAAATGTAGCTTAAATCATCCTTTTTTCTCTATAAAATTTACATTTGTTTTTTAAAATTCGCTTAGAATAGAAGGTTGAGAGATACTGAAGTATGTGATCATTTGATGGCGAAAAAGGATGATTTGAGCTACATTTTGACATCAAAAGCACCTATAAAAAAAAGCAAGCTTCGTCTTAATAAGTTTTATACCGACCAACGGCCCGGAGATTGCTCTTTCGAGTGATGAAAACTGCAGCTCTCTATCTTGTTCCTATCAAAAGTTATTCGAAAAATAGTGAGGTGCCTTTTATTTTGAAACGGACAGTAGTAACGAAGCTTAATTAAAAAACGAATGACTTTCTCACGTCCTACATCTTGATAGACTCTTTCAAAAAGAAGAAAAACGTTAACCATAATGTAGCATCTCCCAGAATTCCACAAGGTGTAATGAAAAGAATATATTTTAAAAAAAGCTGTTAACACAATCTCTGCGAGAATAAAATACGAAATACGTTGTAGTTACTGTTATTAATCACACCAAAACTGATATTATTTTATCTATTTTGAGACACATTTCTTCACCATTCTTTTACTTAATCATCGAGAAATGCAATGGGGAAGTAATTTAACGAGGTGTTATTGATACATGGTCAGTGACATTTCTATGATTGAGTTTGTCGCGGTTTGTAATAAAGGAGAGACGTTGTTAAGAAGTCAGTCATTTTCTGTGAGGAAAGCTGAGTTTCAAATATCTATCCTTATAATTCAACATTTTTTTATATCGTGATTCATGAGCATTTCCCTTTTCTTCGAGAAGCAGCACTTTTTTCAAGCAAATGATGACAGAAATCATTAAAAATTTTGGCAAAAACGAATATGTGAAATAAAAAACGTTATGTGTTTTATAAACGATAAGGCATCGCACTACCCATCTTAATTTTCATTATTTTTTAATGAAAGTTGACTTTTTTTGAGGAATACAGCGTTTGAAAAAGAAGGTTTTAATAATGATTATACTATTGATATAGAGTACGGATACAAATGACTTTGATGATACATCACAAATGGGATTACCGTATGTACGTTCATCATCAAGTGTATCATCAAAATCAGCATCAAATAGAAATAAACGAATACATAGCAATACAGATATTGTTTCACAAAGACCGACAGAATTTTTGTGTCGACTTATACGTAAAGTTTATTCAACAAATGAAATTGTTGCTGGTATTAATCCTGATGAACGTCTTGATAGAATAAAAGGTGATATTTGTAATAGATATTTTATTCTATAGAAGATTTATTATGATTATTTAGAAGCCGTAGCTGATCGATATTTTCCTGATGAACCCGAACGATTTGAAACATTCTGGGCTAGAGAAGCACATCAGTCGATTCTTGGTCAAGCACGTGCTCAACGATGTCGAGATAAAAAAGCCAGGTATTTCGTCTCATGTTATTATATTTTTATTCATTATTATATTTATTTAGGAATTATCTTGCAGACAATCGTTGAATCTTCAATATACACTAAGCAATAAATGTAGACTTGTAATATAGTCACACAAAATAGAATATTAAGAAAAAACATATCTATCCATTTGCCTTTTTCTTTTCGTTGTATTGTAATTTTATTATAGATATTCGCTTGTGTTTTTTTTGTTTACAAAACAAAATTAAAAAGAACTAATAGAAATTTCATGTAGATTATAAATAGTGTTCTATATAGTCTTGAGTTGAGATTGTGCGGCTTCACTCCACTCATAGCAACAGGTGGAGTGGCGACACTTATCGGGTACATTTAATCGAGGACAACATGCGTCAAACTTCTTTCTCAAAGTTACTTTACAACAAAAAAAGGTTCTGAACGGTAGTAATAGCAAGACTTAGAATGTTCTAGAACAGTCTAAAGTCTTCCTAAAAAATTGAACAGCTGATATATCATTGTGAATGTTCGAAATAATGCATTTGCTGGTTTTTGCATAGATAAGAAAAACCAAACATGATTCATTTACCAAAGTCTACATATAAAATATAGTAGAGTGTTGAAACTTGCTGTCATAATAATGGATTCATACAGCAAGTTTGTTAACCAGTTAAACCAGTGCTTAGAATAATAATAATAATGTTAAATTAAGAGAAAAATGAAATACGAAAATGAAAAACAACAAGTGGATCACAGCAAGCCAAATAAAAAGTTCCTATTCACAATGCAAAAATAACTACGACAATTGTTTTACAGACAATCAATTATTCTTGAAAAAACCCTCTAGTCTGCAAGAGATTTTCCATTTGACGTACTTTGTATAAATATAATCAAGCTAAAGAATATATATGAATGCCACATTTTAGTTTCAAAAGGGACTGCATCGAAAAACCTTTCAATGTGGCAACTTATTTCTTTTTTTGTCGTTCTAATTTTGTTTAACAAGAAAGTGAAAGTTACTATTATTTAAACAGATTAGTATTTAAAAATCTAACATTAAATAAATACTGAGTATTATCGACATCTGTCGAATATTTTCTATCTGTAGTATCGAATGACAATTCAAATGAAAAGAAAGAAAGAACGAAATAATAATCCATTTATAGCTTTGCATTTCTGACTCATGTACTATGAAAATTTTCAAACGCATCTATTCGATGATTTAATTGTCCGAATATTCTGACGAATTTTTTGTTTTCATTTCATTCTTTCCAATTTTCATATATCAATCGAATGACTTTCATACAAAAATTATTTTTATTCAATGTCAAGGTTAATTTTTTTGTTTTTTTTAGATATAATGTCTTCAAATAAACAAAATAATCAAGAAATTTCATCATCTACAGATCAACAAATCAATAGAAATAATCCTATTACAACAAATCAATTTCGATCAGAAGGTATTCAACTCTAAATCATTAAAAAGCATCTAATTTTATTTTATTATAGATCAAGTACCAACTTCTGAACAAGTTCAAGAAGTTGACGTTGCCTTAGCTGATCAGAGTGATAGGTACGTAATTCGATGAATTCTTTATTCTGTCTAGATTTATTTGCTTCACGTTTTTTCCTAGTTGGGAAACCGATGATGAAGGTGACTTTTATACTGAATCATCGAATGGTCGGTTATTTGATCAAGACGACGATGATGATTTACTTGGTTCAGGTTTATCTAGACATTTAATTGAATGTTATCCAATGGCAACTGCTGAAGAAATATCAGTAGTTGGTGTTGTATGTGATATTTGTCTTAACGAATATAAGGCTAATGATAAAGTACGGACTATTCCTTGTTTACACAGATTTCATACACGATGTATTGATAAATGGCTTAAGGTTTGAGAAATAACTGCTTTTTTTTAAATTATAATTTTTATTCATTTTAGAAAAGTAGTAAATGTCCAATGTGTCGAAGTGATTTACGAAAATCGAAATGGTATTCACCATAAAAAAGAAAAGCTAAATCATTTGTTCTCACTGTTAATGTTATTTTTTTTCTTTCTTGTTATATTGAATGGTTCTCATCTTTCTATTTTTTTTCTTATGACAATCTTTGTATGATTTTCGTGTGTGTGTGAACAGTCATCATATTCATAAAAAAGAAAATCAGTCAACTATAAAACGATCTTTTCTCTATATTTGAAACTGTTCTCTTAAAGTTATACGATGATTTATGAAGAGTAATGTATGCAGATTCAGTTATATGTGTATTTCTTTTCTCTTCTTCAACTTTGGCATGCAATAGACAATTTACTTGAATCTTTTTTCACAATACCACATTCTAATTGATAATTATTCTTATAATTCACTTTTAGATGAAAATATTTAAACATCTTTATCTGTCGTAATGCAAATTTTTATATTATTTCTTTGTGTTATTCCGTGTTGCCTTGCAGAAGGTAATTGTTTGTTTTGTTTTAGACTTCCTGCTTGCTTCAAAATCGATTTTCATGACTGCAAACCTTATCTTTGAGAAGCCATCGTGCGAAATAGGACTCTGATGCATACCAATGTTGGTTTAAATAGACTTCGATCTACAGCGCTTGAGATATTTTTATTTCATATAGAATTCTTTATCACTTCGGATGAATAAGAGGAAGATTTTATTTCATTTTTGAGATTCTCAAAATTTTAGGCTATGCTTTTGTAGAAAATTCACGATTACTTTGATATTGAGGGTTTCATGCAAAATCTTTTTTCCTCACCTAAAAGAGAGTGTTTTTATCTGTCGAAAAAAACAAGCACAGCTCACTGGAAGGAATCTGAACTTAACAATTAATGCAAAAAAACTAATTTTAAGAATTGTCTTGTATATTGACTGATGAACTTTTCGACATGAGCATCAGATAAGATTAAAAATTCATTTAGAGTCTTACCGAGCGACCTTCTAGCTACGCCTAAAGGCTGTTACTTCAATAGCGCTATAAATTTTCCTAGGGATATAGTATTGTTTTTTTCTTTGAAAAGTTAAGTTCTAGAAACTCATATAAATTTTGAATTCATATGCCTTAAGGGTTCTACCTATATATTAAACTCAAAAAACGTCTTGTTTTGGATGGAAGTAGGGACCTTGATTAAAGTTTTGATTTATTTTGTTTTTTTTTAAAGTTTGGAATATTCATGTATATACGGGCAATGAACGTTTCGCTGGAACGGATAGTAATATTTATATTCGTTTATTTAATTCAAAAGATGAAAGTACTGGTGAATATCAATTAACTCATTCGAATTGGGTACCGGATAGTAATGATTTTCTATTACGAAATTTATTTGAAACGGGCGCACAAGAACGATTTCGTATTCGAACAGAAGATATTGGATCTGTTGCCAAGATTCATGTATGATTTTTTTCAGATTTTAATTATTTTGTAGATGCTTGAAGTAGTCACAAGTTTTATTTCAAAAATAAGAATTCTGTATTCGAGTGAACTAATGTCTGTACCAGACCTAAAGAGAAGTGAGTGTAAGCTCAATAACTCCACAACAACAACAACAGCTGGCGACCTACGATGTTCAGTAATAAAAAGAGAAGATTTTTGAAAAAGACTTTTAAAAACACTTGAAAGAGGCGTTCCGATTCAATGAAATTTCGATAAAAAAATTAGAAAATTTAGTAAAAATCAACATAAACTCTACATGATTTGACTGAATCGATACACGATTTTCTTTACTCTGTGTTGAGACATAAGAAGATAATCACCTGAATCATTCTATTTAAAGCTCACGTCAAAACTGAAGCATTTTAAAAGTATTTTGAAAAAATCTTCTATTTTGATCGCTGAAAACTTGAGGTCGCTAACTGTCGTCGTTGTCTAGTTATTGTGGTTACACTCATTCCTTTTTAATTCTAGAACGAAGATTAGTATGATGTATTGGTTAAGAAAAAAAATGGATGAGAGTAGATAATAAGAATATATGCAAATGAATTGAATATTGTAATATTTTAGTGAGACTTTAAGACTTTGTTATGATGACTTTACTATTATGTTCGATGATGGATTATTCTCATTACAGAAATAAAATTATTTGTAGATTTGAAGGAAATTCTATTTGATAATTAATTCTCTTAGATATTCTTATTTTCTTCTATAAAATAAAAGAGTATACTCATGAGACATTAAAATTAGCTGAATTGCTGAACTTGTCAATTTTGATTCTTTCCGAAGATAAGATTTTTTCTTTTAATATCTTTACTAGTCGACATTCTTGTCATTATTCTTGACTGATCAGGCAAGACTTGCCGGTCCAATAAGATTCTTGTATTCTTGAAGGCTTACTTGATCCTTATGAGTCAGATGTAATCACTTCATAAGTCAAGATGATTCTGTTCTATCGTTACTATTTTATATTTACTTGAAAGCTTCAATAAAATACACGAAAAAGTAAAAGATAAATAGAATAACAAAAAAAATTCATCCCATTTTAGATAACATACACAAAAAAAAGAGATGGAAAAAATTTACAATGGTAAAAAATGAGAACAAAACAAAACACAATTTTACAGTTAGACGATAAACCTAACAAACCCATTCTTAAGAAAAAAAAAGGGAGGGTGGAGAGCGAAACAAATAATCAAAGTAATCTATATACATTAAAGAATACGTATCTATAATAGTTCTTCGCCTTCATAGAGTTTTTGTTTAATTCGATGATTCTTATTTATTAAGTTGAACATTACAGGTATTAATTGTCATGACGTAGATATGGAAAAACTAACGTTCACACGTTTGTATATATATATATATATGTCAGCGTTCAATCTAAGATTCGACTTTCCGAACTTGAATCGAACAAAAATTTCAGATCACCTTTTTGTATTCATGAACTACAAGAAAATATTGGAATTTACTTTAGTAATACCCGATTGAAAAATGAGATCTAGATTTAACAAATTTTCTATGGAAATAGAAGCTCAATGGAAAAATTTTTTGATAAATATTTCAATCAAATTTTCATGGTCAATCACATCGTAGTTCATCAAAAAAAAATCCAGAATCGAAGATTGATTTCTACTTGACTCACGTTTAGACTAGATCAAACTCAGATCTGAGATTGTACGTTGACATATATGTATGTGTGTACTTAGACATCATGTGTTACTTGCTTTGAGGGTCAGATAAGAATCTTGAACCTTCTCTGAGCTTCAAGAATACTTAGATATCATGCCATTCATCTCAGGTTTCTAATTTCTTGATGAATGAGCCAGTATCTTTCGTTTTGACCTTCAAACAGGAATTTGTTTTTTCTTTCCTGTTTAAAAGCATTTTGATTTGAATTTTAAGATTAATAGAAATAGTCGCTAATCAATCAAGAAAAACAGACATCTGGAAATAACGTTGATTAATGCAGGCATTCAAAATTACAAAATGATATGAGTTTTTATTATTTGATGTTGGATACTTTGATTACGAATATATCTTCAAGAACGATATACATGTAATTTTATACCTTATAAGCTGTTGATTAGCGGACACCGAAGACTGAATGTATCTAACGAACTTAGTTAGATGCATCCGTCAAAAGAATAGAATTCGCTTAAAGTATACTATATGGAAAGTGAAATTCTTTATAAATCACTTACTTTAATTACTATAACTTCGATGTTAGTATGAATCGGAGCATTAGTAAAACCTTCGACACATTAGAAGATCCGAAGTCTTCTATTCTGTCTTGCCATTCATGAGTTACAAGGAAGGTCTTCTATCAAATTTCTTTTAAAAAAGTAATTTTTTCAGTAGTCTTGCACATAATTCTTAGTTTCAATTCACTTTTGACCAATACGTCGTTATTAAACAAATATATTTCACTTATCTTATAGATATAGAATAAGAAGGAAGCAGATAATGTTCTGTGAAAAAAAGAGACAATTCCTGGTAAGAAAAATGTTGTTCAAATAATACAATCACCATAGCTGAACGTTTTGGTACAAAGTCTAATAGCACTCTTTCTTTCTAAAGGATACGATCCACCACTGGCAACGTTTAATATTCGTAATAGTTAAATAATTGAAAAAGAAAGATTAAACTTTTTTTTGCCAAATTTATTTCAGTCCGTTGCTTATGTTGAGATTTGAATAATATAGACGAAATATGTTCACAGTGAAATGCACCACTATCATAGTTATTAACCCTAGGTAACTTGAATGAGTATGGTTGTCGGCAAAGTAAAAGTTTAAAGAATAGCAGTAGTTAAGTATACATTCAGTGCTCTTTTTTGTGTGTGTTTCGAAAAATATCTTTAGATCTTATTAATGAAAAAAAATACGTTCTCAGGCTATAGAACAAACCTCAGCATGTATATATGAAGATAGATTTTTCTTCAATTATGAATGCGCTGTTTTGAGATTGAAAACGTTTTTTGAATTTCTAGGAAAAAGTACTAAGACGAAGAAACCTTTTAATTAATACCCAACACGATTATATTGAATATGTTTCTAGAATAGAAAGGTCTCTTGATGTGTTACTCATGCGAACGTGCATTGATTGAATTAGGTTCTATGACCATGAAAACGTTGTATTCATACAGAAAGCCGAAAGAGTTTTTTTCAGACTATGCTGTAAAAGAGTATTGAAGTGAATCTACAATATGTTTTCAATAAAGAACCATATTTTCAATAGACTATTGTTTCTATTAGCTATTTTTCAAGATTTTTTTTTAAAGTCAGAAGTAACACGTTGCTATGACGACAAAAGTAAAATATTTTCTATATGAAACTTAAACATTGTTACGCGCATAAATACCAAAAAATCAATAAGTAGCAGAAATTATTGAAAAAAATTGATTCTCAGAGGGAGGTCTTGTGTTTCATTTATCTGCGGGAGCCTTATCATGTGCCGAAGGTTATGTATTGATTTTTTTTGTACAAAGTTTTTCGATTAATCAATAAGTTTATGTTTATGATTTTCATAATCTTAGAATAATATAAGCGTATTAATGTGAATAATGTGATTGGCAAATAGTATTAAATTTTCTTCTGAAGTACAAACATGTTTTCTTCTTTTTTTTTCTTGCGATCTTCCAGCATCGTATACAAACTCGTCATACAATGGCAGCAGTCTAAACAAACATTGTCATCGATTAGGAAATGTATTAAAATATCATTCATATATATGGACAAAATCAACGAAAACAAGACATGACCACCTTCGATTTGAATTTAAGTTTTGATAAGGGTTCTTGTTGTGACCAAGTCTTGTTCTAATGAATATATATAAAAGTATTGATCTTTTTTAGCTTTCATCTAATTAAGGTATATATGATTAAATATTCAGCAAGATTAGGCGTCGGAAAAAAAACAGTTCTCCCAAGATTAGTTTTCGAGAGGTCTGCTATTGTGTCCAGATGAGTCTCTTTGTTTTACTTTCACATCGCAATCTTCAAAAAGAATTTGTACCATTTAGAATTGCCTTCTGGAATTTTCAATCAGTGACAAAACTTTGTTCATACACACGTCGCTAACAACAAATACATTCAATTTCTTGAAAAACATAAATTTGTTCAGGAAAAAACTTGGCGCACTAATTTTGTAGCCTAAAGAGTCCTTTATACAATCTACTATTGAGTCCTCTTCAAAAACACTGTTCCAACTTGCAAGATCTTTAAATGGAAACGTACGCAGTGAAAACTTTCGTCGTATTTTTTGTGTCATGTGACATGCTAGTTTTTCAATAATAGCTCGGTGAAATCAAAGTCTATAGCACAAAGTTTTTCAATCTATTTAGAGCAATTCAACATGCATCTGTTAGGTAGATATTAATTAAAAGCAATGCCTAAATCCAGAGATACAAATAGTTTTATTTTGCGAAATCACATTGCTCACAAATGAAATTGTCCATGTATGTTACACTATATCTCAAATATAACTTTTCGTTCATTCAATTAAATTCATCGACAGTGATCAATTTCTCTTATTTTAAACATTTCAGTGATAGAAATAATGATATATCTGCGTGCAATTAAAACTATTTGAGTCAATCTTTTTGCTATGTTTCTATCGTTTGTTTTATTCTCAATAGATAATAGTAAAGTATTAAGATTTATTTAATAATATTAATATAACATGTTTCATTAAAACTTTATGAATAAATAAAAATGGCAAAACATGTATTTATTCTTATTGTATTCAAAAAGTTGTCATATTGCATTTTCTGGCATATACCAAAGTTTTGCATGGTCGTACTTTACTCATGAAAATTTTGATTTCCTATCATCAATGAAGATCGAAAGACTTGACATTTGAATGCAAATATATGCATGACAGAGTCCTATATTTATACCTTTTCCTTTTCTGTGTCATCTAATCTCATGCCTAAGAAACATTTTAATATAAGAAAGATATAGATAATTTGATGAAGTATCATGTATCAATCTCAATTATCAGTCGTATTTTTTCTTTTACTTATGATCAACCAGTAAAAAAGACGAAGCCTACGTACTGAACTTATGGAATGAATAATTTCAATAGTTGTCAGATAAAATAAGAAAATCCTCGTAGCTTTTACAAAAATTGTTAGTAATGATGAGACAAGCAACCTGAGCAAGTAAAAGTATACACTCGAGAAGGTCATACTTGCTCTGATGTAGAAGAAAAGAATTTATTACTTATATAGAATATCAAAAATTCCTGCGTTCTTTGTTACTATCTGTCTAAATAGGTTCGTCTTAGAGAAAAGCATCAATCTGTTTCCTCAAGTATTGATATTTTCTTAAATGAGTATATAAGCACTGAACAGCTCAAACTAAAAGCTGTTGACTATTTTTCTACATTTGAACATTTTGATAAAATAGTAAAGTCTATCGGATACCAAAATTTTGGATCCGAATCCATTTAATTAAAATTTTTGAGTCTCGGCTAAATCCGAGTATAACATTTTTCTGTTAACCAAATCCAAAAATTTTAAACTCGACGAGTTCTAATTGCCTAAACAATATCTAGAATGCACTAGTCATCGAATACAAAACATCGGAGAAAAGTATCTCATATTTTCGGAGCGACTATCGAATTCTGATTAGAAAGTTTCATTCAGAACATCAAAGTATGCTTCAAACGACTCCTGATCCAGGTCCAAAAATTTTGGACCGGACGGACTATGAAAAATATTCTTATTAAATTATGTGCCTTATTTAATTTGTTAGATAAAAAAAAATCATGTCAATTTGTTCTCGTTCTTCATAATTCTGATATAATATAAAGATCGGAGATTTAAAAGTATCGCAAGATTCGATTTAATTAGTATTAGTGAATCTTTGAAAACATGTTGAAAGCAATAGGAAAGTTTTTTTTCCTTTATTGCAATTAAAATAAATTATCTAGTTTATTATTAATAAAATCAATATTGACGAGTTGTTTTCTTTTAGATTCGACACAATAATTTTCCATTTCTGCAAGCCGATTGGTTACTTGATCAAGTTATTGTTGAACATAATCGAGATGGTACTAAATATATATTTAAATGTAATTGTTGGCTTAGAAGAGGACGGCCATATGCAACACTTTCTGCTTTGCCAGGTACTAAATAACCTATGAAATATATTGATTTCTACAGAAAACTGATTAGTATTTGAAGTTAACTTAAAAAATCCAGGGTACTTTTTCAAATAAAAAGAAAAACAGCTTCTAGTGAAGACTGAAAATCTGAATAAATCTTATTTTACCTGAAAAAAAACTAATTCTCATTATGATTTATTTTAGACCCACGTTCTATGATTAAAAATAAAACAGATGATTCATCATCAACAAAAAGTCGAACTCTTGTAATTATTCTTGTTATTTTAATCACCATAGTAACAGGTATTTTTTGTGGTTATAATGAATATCGTCGTCGACAACGAGATCCTCTCATATTTTTAAATGATCCAATCGAACAAATTCATCAAGAACCATCACTTCTTGATACATATTACTCTCAATCACCAAGACCATCATCTCCATCATCAGAATCTCAATTTTGGGTTAATACTATACGTCGATGGAAAAATTTTCGACAAGGTTTACCTCCATATAATCATGCACAAACAACTCAATCAACAGCTGCTCCTCCAATAACATCATTAATAGTTTCTTCAGATGAACCACCTGCCTACGAAGGTATATTATTTCTTTCTCATTATATATTTGATATGAAATTTATTATTATTTTTTCTCTTTACAGATTTATATCCAAATTCAACTGCACATATAAATACTAGTTCAAATTCAAATTGATGATACATTTTTAGAATTGAAGTGTATTTGTGATCGAATTATAATTTATATAGAAACATATATGTGTTTATATCTTTTTTTTCTTCTTTTTATTGTATTGTATATAAATCTCTAGTCAATTACTTCATTTTTAAAATATAAGATTACCGAATCATTTGATACTCGAATGCATTCTTGTTGAATATTTAATATCGGTTATGTTTTATTTTTCAAGCTTGCTTTCATTTTTTTCACTTCATCTCACTGTGTCTTTCGCTTCACATCACTAGCACTTATTTTTCGCTTATTGCATCTAATATTATGAATTGAAGACTAGATTTTCTTTTACTCTTTCTACTTCATTTTCTTTTTTTCCTCTTTTCTCTTTTGATTTCCTTGGTTTTTTTTATTCTATTGCAATAGAGCTCTACGTCATCAATACACAGCTCTTTGCTCGACTATTAAGAAAAAAACACTTTGGTATGTGACGGTAGGTTTTTTTGCTTCGCCATAGAGAGCAGTGTCGAACGATACAGGCAAAATACTTGTGCATGTGCATGCGTGTATCTGTATATATGCACGAACATCGGCCCTTGTTACCCCAACCAAACACGCACTGTTGACGATGACAATATGCAGAACATAAAGCAAGAAAGAAAGAGAGAAGTTTTATAAAGTGTGCATTTAACATGACATAAATCACTGTGAATATATTGGTGAAGGTATACATAGAAAGGTAAATAGCTGAATGTACTAGTTAACTTGTTTCACTGTGCTTATTACTAATCGTATTCTTTACATATTTTGAATTCTATGTTATCATTATGCTATCAGGATTGTTAGACAAACGATGAGTGATGGTATTGAGTTCATCCAGTGATATGATCATATGTTTGCTACTTTTGTCTTTTTTCTGCCATTTCTTATGACAACAAATAATGATGGAGTAAGATGCATAGAACTAGTAGTAACAAAGAAGCTAGAAAATCAACTGTCATCATTATTGAAGACAACACACGCACACCACACTCGTTCCTTTAATTATCCAAAAAATGCGATCGACAGAACGAACAACGACAACTGGATTAACATTATTCTCTTCGTTCTTCGACACAATATTATGTTCTAGGATAGAACGATATCACTTACAAACGATTGTGTCACAAACGACATAAATCGCTCATGTGAACTACGTGCATCGATCTATTAAGTATACGGATCGATGTCAGTCCAAGAGAACACATATATTGTTATTCATAGTTATTTATTCATATATTTCAACTAATCATAGGAAACACAGTTTCCTTTGCATTATTTGGCTCTCTCTTCAAGTATGCTTTTTAATCAATAGATTTTTTTTAGCGTAAATGTTTAAAATGATTTTACTTTTCTACTTCAGCATTTTAGCGAAAAAAAAAATTAAAAAAATTGTGTCCTATTGCAAATGCATGTTTTTCACGAATGTGAAACTAATATGTACAGATATGAATACAGTGATAATAACTTTTGATAAACAAGTTTATAATTTCGTATGTTAAGGTAATTGCCACTTCTATTTTTGTCTTTTTTTTTCTCTTTGTTTTTGTCCACGTCTTTGATTTGCCAGTAAAATGAATAGAAAATTGCATTTATTTCTCGGTAAATTATCTTTCTTTTTTTTTCAATGTCATCGATTTAACAGTTGTCATAAGTGGAAAACAATTACTTTATTGTTGCCTACTCAAGACCGATAAGACAAAGAAGTCAGATAAGTAGAAAACAAAGCATTGATGATGATCGATCGGTCGATAGATGATGGATATTTATCGCTTATAAATGTACATACATGTATATGTATATGTATGTTTATATCATTGTTTTCTTTTTTTTCATTTTTTTTTTGATTTCATGTTTTATTAATCTATTACATCACTAGGTTTTGTAGTTTTCTATTCCTAATCGATTGAAGAAATCTTTTTCTATCGTTTACTTTCCATTTTAATGATGAAGCAAAACAAAGAAAAAGAAAACTAATACTCATTTAATAAAGAGAGCAAATTTTTCTCCTTCTGTTTTTGTTGTTGAATATTATGAGTTGCAATTGACAATAAGACTCTATTTCCTTCGTTTTACTGAATAGTATGCTTGCACGTATATGAATCGAAGACATGACATATGCATGTTGATGTGTGCATACGCTTCTTATTTTCTTATTTTCTTTTTTCTTTTTTGTTGTCGTTTATAATGCGGGTGATTGTTTTCTTGATCTTGAAGTAGATATTGACTACATGTATCCAATAAACATTTATAAACACCAAAACATCGAGAAAAAAATTTGCCTGCTTCAGAAAACTGTAATACATCAAAATAGGAAAATTTATATGATGCATTTATAAGCAAGTTAGAGATTATAAAATAACATGAGCGTTATGTATTTTACGAGCAAATTTATTTTTTCTATAAAACGGAATATATTACAGAATATAAGAAAGCCAAACAGTCAAACAAAAAACCCTTAAAATTTCTCTAGGCAGTAATATATATATACATATTGCCTTGATGTTTATTATCCTTTCTCGTTCTCTATTTATTCCTTCTCTTTTCTCTATATATACATATACACCATCAATTCATTCATGCATCAGTAATCTTGACGAACGTGAAATAAAAAATATTTTTTGCCCCTCTTGGTATCGTGTTTTTTTCTTACGTTATCATTTGATCTACACAGATTTCTTCTACTTTCATGGTTTTCGTTTTTCTTCCTTGTCGTGCTGATTATGTGCGCGCTAATAAGAATTGAAGGAGGATTAACTCTATAATGACTATGAATATAGGAAATAACATTGTCAGCTGGTTGAACGTCTTCGTCATTTTTTTTCTTTTTCTTTTTCTTTTTTTCCTTCTTTTTATTATATAATGTACTTTTATTTGAGCCACGATGATGATAGTGGCTTAATGTAAGTAGTAATAGTAGAAAACGGAGTAACCCAATCACTCGATGATGTGCATACGCGTGTGCATTTATGCTTACCCAAATTCTCTATTCGTGATAATAATCAGTCCAATAGAGAGAAAAAGATGAGACAATAATTGTTGTTTTGTACAATAACGACAAAACGAAAAAAACACAAAATAAAGCATTACTATTTTCATTTCTATGCTAATAAAAGTTTTCCTTATTTGCCACTTTTTTTGTTTTCAGAAAAAATATTCATTAGTTTTTCAAAATTATGATTAACGTATGTAATAAGGATTATGTCTTAATGGTCCTTATAAAGAATAAGTAACTGTAAGATTTATAACCGATGAATGAAAAGAAAGAAAAGAAAATTTTTCTTATCATAATTTTCAATTTTTTTCTTTTATGTTTTTTTCTTCTTTCTGTGACGATTAACTAGGGAATATTCTGTCAGGCTCAATCCGTTATATGATGACGTCATTTGTCGGTTTTCTCTCTCTGTTTCTCTCGCTCGACTGCGTGCGGTAGCAAGAGCTAGATAATATTTCTTCTCCGGTCTATTTCTCTCTCTCTCTCGTTTTTTCTTCTTTTTCTTCTCCCTCTGTGTATGTTATTATTTGTATGTTCGTGTGCGTGCGACCGATCGCACCAACACTATTGCAATCATCACCCAGAGCTAACGACGAACATAAAGAGAGAAAAAAGAACGCTGTTTTGTTTTGAAAAAATACATATACATATAACTGATTAGTAACAATTCAACAAGGTTAACACATGAATTCATTTACTTACTTTTTTCAGATTTTTGTCTATTTTATTCTATCAAATACTATTCAATAGGACAAATATTTCGAGAATCTCGATCGTTATTTAGGATCGAGTAATAGTCTTGTTAACATTACAAATATAGACCTAATTTCATCTCAATGAACTATGGTAAGTAATAGAAATGAAAATAACTGATTAAAATCAATTAGTATTATCAATATCATTGAATATTTTCTTTTTATTTATTTTCTTATAGACTGACGATACCAAAACAAAAGCAGGAAAAAAAGGTGGCGAAAGTGGCCTTGAAGATCTCAAACGTGAATCTGATATTGTAATTATTTGATTAATTTTTTATCGAAAACTAATATTTTACTTCTTAGGATGATCACAGAATAACATTCGAAGAACTTTATCGAAAATATGGAACTCATCCTGAAAATGTAAATATAGTGAAATATTTTAAATTTTAAATAATAGATAATTTTGTTTGTCTTTTTCTTGTTGATTAGGGTTTAACCGATACGAAAGTAGCTGAAATATTTGCCCGAGATGGTCCAAATGCGTTAACACCGCCTAAAACAACACCTGAATGGATTAAATTTTGTCGTCAAATGTTCGGTGGTTTCGCTATGTTATTATGGCTTGGTGCCTTTCTATGTTTTATTGCACATGGTATTGGTGTTGCAACATATGAGGAAGCATCAAACGATAATGTAAATATACATGAAACATCTGATTGTTTGCTTTTATATCCATTTGTCATTTTTATTTTAGCTTTGGCTTGGTATTGCGTTAACAGTGGTCGTATTTATTACCGGTTGCTTTTCTTATTTTCAAGAAGCAAAAAGTTCAAGAATTATGGAATCATTCAAAAGCATGTAAGTTATTTTTTAATCGAAATGCGAAATAATGTTCGAGAAAGTAAGGTAATGAAAAAAGTTTGACAACAACATATTGTTCTATCATATTGAGTAATTAGTTTAAATTCAGATAAAGATTTTAATAACCAAGGAAGTTTTCTTTTATTAACATTTAATAGATAAACTATGATAGCAAGGTTTCTAGAGAACCGGAAATGATACTTATCAGGCCCAGATAACTTTATTGTAAAAATACCATTGTAATGAGAACAAAATTAGAAGTAGTCGCATTTTCTACAATCGTCCATGAAAAAGTTAAAAACATGATTAAAAACAAAAAATGTATTTTTACTGATACGTTGAATATTTTAACGGAAGGTTTTAGAAAATGTGGCAATCCTCCATCTCGTTCTCTTTCAACGGACATTCTTAAAAGAAGTTCTTCTATGATTTGAAAACAATAGTCTGCGGTTCTTTAGAAATTTTACCATCATAGTTTATCTATGAAATTTTGTTAAAATAAAATTCCATTAAATCTAGACTTTAACTTATTACTTAACACTATAGAAAAAAAGCAAAAAATAAGTTGTCGTTAAAATTTTCATTATTTTAATTTGTTTTCTTAATTTTTCTGAACTAAAAAAAAATTAACTATAGGATTTGTTGAACATACAGATCTCAATAATGCTTTTTTTTTGTTTATTCTAGGGTACCACCTGTACGTATGACAAAGAATTTTAGGTGAATTAATATCAAAGTTTCATATTAACATTTCTTTTTAGCTTGCATTGGCAATTCGTAATGGTGAAAAAAGAAATTTAAAAGCTGAAGAATTAGTTGTTGGTGATCTTGTTGAAGTTAAATTTGGCGATCGTGTACCAGCTGATATTCGTGTACTAAGAGCACATGGTTTTAAAGTTGACAATTCATCGTTAACCGGTGAATCTGAACCTCAATCACGTGGACCTGAATGTACTCATGAAAATCCACTCGAAACAAAAAATCTAGCTTTCTTTAGTACATTTGCTGTTGAAGGTTTTATTACTAAAAATTCGTTTGTTTTTAAACAAAATGTTTATTTGACTTAAAGGTACATGTCTTGGATTAGTTATACGAACTGGAGATCGAACTGTCATGGGTCGTATTGCTAGTTTAGCTTCAAGTAAAATAAATATATTTATATTCAAATAAAATTTCTTGTATAATAAAAATATTTTTTATTTAGATTTGGAAACTGGAGAAACACCAATTGCACGTGAAATTGCTCATTTTATTCATATAATTACGGGTGTAGCAGTTTTTCTTGGTGTTTCATTTTTTGTCATTGCTTTTATTCTTGGTTATCCATGGCTTGAAGCAGTCATCTTCTTAATTGGTATCATTGTGGCTAATGTACCTGAAGGTCTTCTTGCTACTGTTACAGTGAGTAATTTATATCAATTACTTTTTTTTTTTTGTTTTATTCGATTACTTTTTTATTTAGGTATGTCTGACATTAACAGCTAAACGAATGGCAAAGAAAAATTGTCTTGTTAAAAATTTGGAAGCTGTCGAAACACTTGGTTCAACATCAACTATTTGTTCAGATAAAACTGGTACATTGACACAAAACCGTATGACTGTTGCACATATGTGGTTTGATAATCGAATTGTTGAAGCTGATACAACTGAAAATCAACAAAGTATGGAATTTTAATTGTTTTTTGTTTTAGTATTTTTTTTCCTGTTTTAATTTAGATGCTACATATGATAAAACTGCACCAGGCTGGGTAAATAGATAAAAATTTAATAACATCTCATGCAATGATTTGTTTGTATTTTAGCTTGCGCTTAGTCGTTGTGCAATGTTATGTAATCGTGCTGATTTTAAACAAGATCAAGATAATTTAAAGAAACCTGTACTTCAACGAGAATGCAATGGTGATGCATCTGAATCAGCTTTACTTAAATGTGTCGAATTATCTGTAAGATTAAAAAAGAAATTCAATAAAGAAATTTGTTATTTTGACTTGATTTTTAATTTAGATTGGTAATGTTATTAAATTTCGTGAACAAAATCGAAAAATTTCTGAAATTCCATTTAATTCAACAAATAAATACCAAGTATCGATTCATGAAACTCAAGATGGTGATGATCGATATTTATTAGTAATGAAAGGTGCACCTGAACGTATACTTGAAAGATGTACAACAATTTATACTGATGGAACAGACATTGAATTAAATGATTGTATGAAAAGGAAAACAAAATGTTTTTATATCAAAATCATTTTTCTCGTTCTTTTTTTAGATTGGAAATCAGCATTTAATCGTGCTTATCTTGAATTAGGTGGTCTTGGTGAACGTGTCTTAGGTTTTTGTGATTTACGCTTACCAATAAATGACTTTCCACGTGGTTTCTCATTTGATTCCGATGAAGTTAATTTTCCTGTAGCGAACTTACGATTTCTTGGTCTTGTATCAATGATTGATCCACCTCGTGCTGCTGTACCAGAAGCGTACGTATTCAAAGAAAAGATCTTACATGAATAAGTAATTATTATTTGGTTTTGTTTTGTAGCGTCGCTAAATGTCGTTCAGCTGGTATAAAAGTCATTATGGTTACTGGTGATCATCCAATAACAGCAAAAGCTATTGCTAAAGCTGTTGGTATTATATCTGAAGGACAAGAAACTGTTGAAGATATTGCACAACGTTTAAATATTCCTATTGAACAAGTTGATCCATCTCATGCTAAAGCATGTGTTATACATGGAAATGATTTAAAGAGTATGTCACCAAGTGAAATAGATGCTGTTTTACATGATCATCCTGAAATTGTCTTTGCTCGTACATCACCACAACAAAAATTAATTATTGTCGAAGGTTGTCAACGTCAAGGTGCAATTGTTGCTGTCACTGGTGATGGTGTTAATGATTCACCAGCATTAAAAAAAGCTGATATTGGTGTTGCTATGGGTATAGCTGGTTCCGATGTTAGTAAACAAGCAGCAGATATGATTTTACTTGATGATAATTTTGCATCGATTGTCACAGGTGTTGAAGAAGGTCGTTTAATATTTGATAATTTAAAAAAATCTATTGCTTATACATTAACATCAAATATACCAGAAATTACACCATTTTTAATGTATCTTATAACGGATATACCATTACCACTTGGTACAATAACAATTTTATGTATTGATTTGGGTACGGATATGGTACCGGCTATTTCATTAGCTTATGAAAAAGCAGAAACCGATATTATGAAACGACGACCACGTGATCCAAAACATGATCGACTTGTCAATGAACGGTAAAAAATTTATTTTTTAAACGTTAGTTTAATTGAGTTGTTTGATTATTTTAAATTTCAGTTTAATTTCAATGGCCTATGGTCAAATTGGTATGATTCAAGCATCAGCAGGATTTTTTGTTTATTTAGTTATTATGGCTGAGAATGGTTTTTGGCCAAGTCGTTTACTTGGTTTACGTAAATCATGGGAATCAAAAGTAGTTAATGATCTTGAAGATTCATATGGTCAAGAATGGGTAATAATAGATTGTGTTTTATTTTTAAAAAAAGTTTGTTTTTTTTTGTATTTTTCTGGTAGACATATCAACAACGTAAAACATTAGAATATACATGTCATACAGCCTTCTTTGTTTCTATTGTCATTGTACAATGGGCTGATTTAATTATTTGTAAAACACGACGAAATTCATTGATACATCAAGGCATGACGTAAGTTCAGTTATTAGTAATTTATAATTTAAATCAATAGAAAGCCTTGTTTTGTTTGTTTTTCTCTTTTATAGAAATTGGATGCTTAACTTTGGTTTAGTTTTTGAAACAGTTCTTGCTGCTGCTCTTTGCTACACACCTTATCTTGATAAAGGCTTGAATATGTATCCACTTAAGTACGTATACATATGAAAAACTATGAATGAAGTTTCATGGATTACAGAAGAAATAAGAAAAAAGCCGTCGGCTGTATTTATTTATTTGTTGATTTTGTAATTTGAAAACCCTTGATATGACCTTCATGCTTTGAATAGCGTTTAAAATGGAAATATTAATGTAAAAAGAAATGAATTGCAAAGAAAGCCAATGATAAGAAATGCACCACAGTTTGTCATTTTTTCTTAGTTAAATATTTGTCTACAATAAGAAAGCCTTTACAGGTTTATGTGACCGAAAACCTAAGAAAATAAATCAAAATTTCTGATATAATAAATTATATCAATATTAATCTTTTAGATTTCTGTGGTGGTTACCTGCGATGCCATTTTCACTGGCAATATTTATTTATGATGAAGTTCGAAAATTTCTTATTCGTCGAAATCCAGGCGGCTGGGTCGAACAAGAAACCTATTATTAGTCTATGTACACGGGTGCATGGAAATTTTTATTTCTATATTCTTAGAACAATTCTCAATTTTTTTTTGTCTGTGTTCTTTTCTTTTCTTTTTTTTGTTTCTATGTGTGCCAGTAAAAGTATTAAACAATTCGTGCATATTCCAAACGTGTGTATTTAAATGTTGGCATTTTCGCTGCTTTATAGTCATTAGCAAAAAGATCATTTGTATCTGCCTGAGTACTATCTCTGTTGTTCAGTTTTCTATTTTTTTTTGAATAGTCTATTTTCCACACACACTCTAACTGACCTCTCTGAACATAGGTGGCATTATATAGTTGATAAAAAAAATTCTTTTTCTTTTTTTCTGTGCATTGAATAGAAAAGTTCATTTTCTTTTCTGTACTGTAATTGTTTGACTTGAGGGTTTTCTGCCTCGTTACATTTGTCTTTAGCGTAGAACAATACGCTACTCACGTTCGATCTATTATCCTACACTCTCAGATATGCGTCCAACAGCTGCGCTCGCTATCAGGTGTCCATCTGTGCAGCATCTTTTATTTTTCTTCTACAATTGTCTGTCTGTCTGGTTGACTTTTTTTTTCTCTGTTTGCAAAAAAAGACCATTGTGCATGTCTATCGTTTATCGATTGCGACAAATTCTTTTTTTTTCTTTTAATGTTTCTTTCTTTTTTTCCGTTCAATTTGTTCGAATTCTTCTTTTTTTGTCCTTCATTTATTTTCACATCAAAATATTAAAATACTCAGACATAGACAGATTTAGAAGTCAAAACATGATTGGCTATTATGTAACAAAAAAACAAATGATGTTATCTTGAAAACTTAATGGTGAAATAATTATATTTACCAAAAAAAAATTTTAATGAATCATGCAAGATCAAAAATATATTAGTAATTAATTATATAGTGTCGCTTTTTTTCTCATGAAAACCTAGCAGTTTTTATTGACTATGTTAATTATACTTCTTTGCACTAGTCGTACTTTTAAGTACTGATATTGTCGAGCTCAAGGGCAAAGCTTTTTTTACGTGGATCGCGCAAAGGTGCAGACTGTATTGCGCAGTATCTTATTTCGTTTTTGTTTTTTTCATATAGAACCTTGACACTACTTCATAGCCATATTGAATTTTTCTGTTCTATGTTATGTAATTCTTTGCATTGATATGTACTTTATGATGACAATTAGAAATTTTTTCAGAGAAAATCATTTTTTCTTGACTATTAATTAAGAATCGTATGAAAAATGGTAATAATTGATTTAATTGGGTTGGCTGATATTGATTATTTGATGTTCATGACAAAATAATGTCAAAATAAGTATCTAGTTTTGGTACAAAATCGAATCAAATGTATTAAAAAAAAAACACTATTACACTGATGCCATCGAAAATGTTGATTGTATCATATAGTTACACATATCATGAATGTCACATAAATAGATTTATCTGGCCCTAGAGACAACATGATTGATAATCTATAAACATTATCGACAATCATATTAATTAAGGTAAATATAACTAGAATAAGAAACTATATACATAATCATTTGATCGATGAATTGAATAGATGAAATAGGTGTGACATACTTCATTTTGATGCTTTAAAAACAAATAGTTCTATTAATTATGTTGGTATACATAGTTAAAATAAAACTTCGAAGAAATGGAAGATAACTCTATTGAGAAATTGTAACTGACTACTTAGGAGTATTAAAAGAATATTATTTACACTCTACACAACTTGTTACTATTTACAAACGTTTTAACAATACTAAGTATGATGGAGAAATTTTTATGAATAATCAGAAATAAAAGAAATATTATTTTTCTTGGTCCTTGTACCATTGTTTTATACTAATCGTTTTTGAGTTTCAAATATAATATGTATTTAGCGCTATTGATATTATTGTTGAAATATTATCATAAAACATGGCTAACAAAGGAATCTTTCGAGGTAATACATCGATTTTCAACCGAGATCATGATTGTTCGATGAGTAATAGAAAAGCATGGAATGGCTTGGTTTTTCGGATCTTTGTTCTTGAGATATCGAAATTTTTGTAAGTTGTTCAACAATAACCTATGATTCCTCTCCGGGTCAAGTTCAAAGTCGACTTTCGATTTTTCATTGCATACTTTACATGAACAAAGTTTTCGAGAAGATTAGTTCATTAGGCAAGTTTTTACTTTTCTAATATTTTCTATTCTGAGATATTCTCTAACCCGAAAAAGTTATGCTGCAACTAATCAGATGATCGAAGTCAGAACAAATGAAACTGTGAAGTAGCCATTGCGATATTCATTAGTAAGAGGACTCTATTACCTAATATCGATGCGGTTTTTGAATTGGATATCATTGCTCGAGTTCTGTCATGAAAATGCTCCTGATTCATTTTTGTTCAACTACAATATATGAAAACTTATCAAATCTTCATCGTACGTAAAATGCTCATGTAATAATTATTTAAAATCTTATATTCAAACACTTGTATTTGATGTAAAAAGAAGTTGAGGATAAAATTATATTTATGTTAGCTACTTATTCGAAATCACAAGAACAAATCTTAATGGAACATAATCCAGCTTTCGTCATATTGGACTTTGTATTACATGAATTACAATGAGTGAATTTAATGAATGATTGATTCTGCGTGATGAATGTTGGGCGATGAAACTCTTCTTCTTTACTTTCCTAATTTAATATCTTAATTAAATATTTGTGATTCAGCCAGTAATGGATCATCAAAAGTACTGAAAGACTATTAATTGCAACTGGTATCATTGATTATATAAATAATGATATATAAAAATGGCTATGCAAGTATTAAATGAAAATTAATCAACAATTTAGTTAATGTTTGTGTTATTAATTATTGAGCAATATTGATGACATATACAAAAACTATTGATCGCGATGTTGTGTACTTGAAAAAAAGATTGTTTTGGTTTTCTGTATAGACTACTATTGTACCGAATGAGCCAAAGATTGGTAATAAATCAATATGTCATTAAAGTAATTCAAAAAATAAAGATCCAACATATTTCCGAAGACATAGGACTTCAAGAAAAAAAGAATTAAATAAAAGATAGGAAATTTTTCATTGTACGAAAAACTTTTGAGTGAATTGAAACTACATAGTATAATGACAAGCATTGCTGAAACGTTTTAAATGGCAATGTTGTTAGTAAGAAACCATAGCACCTAATAGTTTTTCTTAATGCTTGAGAAATATATCAAGTATAACTAGCATTTCAGAGACATATTAGAGAAGTTTCTATTGTTAGTTATTCAGAACTGAATTTCAAACAAAGCTTACTTGAAGAAGAGATTAGATACTTTTGAAAAAACATGATTCTTTTTTCAAACACGAAGTCCAAAATAATCAAATTATTTTGATTAGATGACGTTCATAAACTTGCGCTTCATTTCATAGTCGATCTGCACACATGTTGCAAAGTTTGATATAATTGAGACATCAATGGTTTGCGAATCAGTGATAGTAAGCGCATTGGAAATTGGTTTTTGTTTCTATTGGATTCTTATATAGTCACTTGCTTAAAATGACCTATTGGAAATATTGTTTATAAAGGGCATTAAAGTTCTTATAAAAAACAAACTGGTATTTTTGAACTTTCGTGACTCTTTTCAACGTCTTCTCGTTCTCTTACCATTGGGCATGGTCTAATGCTTTCTCAAAAAAAAGAAGCTTCCGTGTACGCCCGTCACCATCTCCTCAATTGACAAAGCGAAATACTCGTTTCTTCTCAGAATATTTATTTCTTAGAATTTAACAAAAAAAATAGTAGGTACTCTTTTACATATTTAGCATTTTTTAGCAAAGTTAGGAGATTAGAATAGCTCTTCATTATTCCATTTTCTATTACATTGCAAGCCCGTTCGAAAAATGACAGGGCATTCGAATTGTCATCCATATTTTCATAAACAAAACCAATATTGTTGTAACAAGTAGCAAATCATGATGATTCAGATTGACAGTTTGTTGTAGTATGTTCATTGCTTTTCGATAACATGAATGCATTTGAATAATTACCCATCTTGGAATACACAACACTGATGTTATTCTGAGAAGTGAGCAAATACTGATGGTCCGAGGAAGAGTTTTTTCACGAATTTCTAGTGCTTTTTTTAAATAAAACGTGAGTGCATTTGAGTAGTCGCACATGTTGTAATACACTGCATCGATATTCTTCTAAGTAGTACCTAAATCAGGATGATCTGACGGAGGAGGTTTTTGTTCGATATCAAGTGCTTTATGATAATATGAAAGTGCATGTGAATAGTCATTCATGATTAAATACATGGAACTGCTGCTGCTGTAAGAAGCATCCCAATCTGTGTCTGTTGGTGGGAAAAGTTTTTGTCGAATTTCGATGAATTTCTTATATTATGTAGTTGCGTCTAAGTATGCACCTTGTCCTGCCTATACTGTTTCGACATGGTTATAAGTAGGTGCTTTTTCCAAATCAGTCATTGTTTGATAAATCAGAGTATCATCTAGTTCTTGGACTTTGTGAAATCAGTCAAGTCTAATTAACAACACACCTCAACGAACTCATCATGGAATAGGATGAAAGTTCTCTTTTCAAATTTGTTCAGTAAATATATTGAGTTCTGCATCGCTTTCACTAGTCTATGTCAAATCGATTTTCCAGAAGTGATTATTTCCATTGATTTGTTCCATGGCTTCGATGCGAAAGATGGAATACATACAGAAAAGAATTCTCTTCTTCTTCTTCTTCTTAGCAAGAGATACTTTTCGATGAAGACTTGTCGACAAAAAAATATTAAATGACTAAAGTCCACCTAGTGTCTCAAGTAATTTATCAAAGTCTGTCTGTAATAATCCTTCACCACGCTAAATGGTTAATGAATTTGAAGACGAATGCCAAGAGAACTGTTGAGTATAGAGCTTAACGATATGGTTGTATAGATCTTGAACGAAAAGATCCCATGCTAATAACTAGGTTTATGTCCATCAGGCATAACGATCGATTGAGCATTGAACAAAGAAAACAATCGCATGTATACCATCATATTGAGGCATGATCATGGTATTTCTGTTTAAATTTATTAACAGTTTTCCGTTGGTTAGCATCATCCTCAAATAGTTGGCGACAATATGAAATGAATTCATCAAAATCTTCTTAAATGAAAATCGACGGTTAATAAAATTTCTTGTAAGATTTGGATGTGCATAAATGATTGATCTAATCGATCTAGATTTTGTTTATGACTTCCACTACTAGTAGGAATGAAACCAATGTCAACCGAGTTTTGATCACATTGATGTTGCAGCTTGTCGAAGTGCTTTACAGATTGGAGCAATATTTATATATGTATCATTAGTTTTTGACCATTGTTTCATCCAATCTTCATGTTGACCACAGTCCTCATTCGAAATATAAACAGTGCTGATCTGTGGAATATCATGGACGATAGAAACATTTTTTTGCTCGAAGAAACCAAAAAAGATGATAAATACTTTCTTCTTCTTGAATATCGATTATAAAATCGATGTATTCATTTACATCGGTGAATGAATATATCTTGTACACGATTTCTTTTAATTTGTTGATGGTATTGATATAATTGTTGTTATTCATGTCATTAGTGCGGTTATCAAGGCATACTATAATGAAATTCTAAACCGTACGAATATAAAAAGTCCGTGGTAACTTTATGCTCGTATGTTCAAATCGCATAGCAGCAGTTGTCGTTGTTGTCGACTTTTCTCTATATTCATGATATGCGTAGTATATTATCAATAAAAAGAATAAAATAAAATGATTTAAATATATAAAGAACGTCAGAATTTTGTTTCCAAGCAGATGTTTGTATTCATTTTCGATTCTTGTGGTCATCCTAGTTAGTTTTTTCCTTATCGTTTCACTTGAGAGCTTCATTTCTCTTCTATATCAGTAGTTGTCTGTAGTGTCACAAGATAACAAATGATTGAAAAAAAATGACTCCTTGCAACACGATTTCTTACGCAATGTCACATTTCAACTTATTTTAACCAGAATTCTGAAGGTTTTCTCTCTTCTTCTCCTTTTACGGTTGTAACTTTAGTGGGAATCTTTAGTTTTCTGCGTCAGGTCTTTGACAGATTCAATATGGACACTGCAAGAATTCACTGTTTGTTTCCTCAGAAAATGACCGAATTCTGAGGAAAGCATGTAGCCACAGAATTTTCATATCCTAACAAGATTTAATCAAGATTGTGAGTAGTTTACTAGTAGTTTTAAAACCAAAAATTCGTTCAAGAAACTGTAAATCCTGAAAGAAACGCGTAGTGAAAAATCTCAAAGATTTTTATAGAATTGGAACAAGATTTTAAAAGGATCTTGAGCAGTTTTCTACTGTTTTTAGATGAGGATCCTACGAGGATGTCAATAATTCATAATTTGAAAATTTCTATCTACATATTTTCAGAATTTTTTTCAGATTTCTTCACAAGATCTTTGTAGGATTTGCACAAGAGAGAAAAACTGAATTGAAGATAAAGCTGATCAATATCTACAAAGTTAATTGATAAACCGATCAGCTTATCTGACTGAATGATACCGTGTTATTATATTTAATTGCAAGTTTCCATATCTGGACTTTTGTCTGAATTGTTAACTTCTAATTGAATTTTATGTGAACACAAAATATCTTAAAACATTTTAATATGTTTTATTGATTTCAATTCTATAGAAACAATCTATTCCTAATTTTTTTACACATAGTCAAAACTGTCAACATATTTTACCAAATGGTTTGTCTCTTACTAAAACTAATTGATTGATGAAAAAAAATTTGTGCAAAACTAAAACGACACTAATATTCTGATTTATTTATGGCATGAACTTATTCTACTATAATTAAACTTTTGAAAGTACCCAGCGCTGATGTGTACATGGAAAATAAGCTTCTTCGCCACTTTACTTATCAAAGTTGTACTTTACGGTAAATTTGAACTCAATATTTCTATGGAATTGACAATTCTTTATCAAATGAAGAATTAGAATAGATTAAAATCTGACAGAATCAAATGTTATCTTCTCTAAAATTTTATTTTCCAGCTAAATTAGCGTTTCTATCAAAATATCATTTTTTTTCCAAGTCTACATATTAAACTTGACAGATTTCGAACTTACCTTCCGATATGTTAAAAACCTGAGTAGATAGAACACTTTTTTTTAATAGAGTAAACTATATTCTATCAATTAGTGTATGAAACAAAACTTAATTGTTCTGAGTTGATTAACTTCTAATAAAAATATACAAACCAGTCAAAATTATTATAGTTTTCAAAAATCAGTTTAGAGTTCTTTTATACATTCAGTTGTATTAGAACAAAATTAAATCAGAAAAGAATTAAAGACATATTGTGAAAGAAAACAAAATTCTGATCCTTATTTTAATTCATATCACTTTCTTATTAAATAGGTTTTTTTTATTTTGTTTCTATTCATGCTACGAAAACTGCCAATTAACCATCAATCGTGAAAATCCCCAATGGTTTTTATATTAGTATATGTGATAATCTTTCTTTTTTTCTTTTATATTATTTGTGAAAAAATTTTATCATTAATGTCTTGATTGAAGAAAATAATAGACATTTCACAAAAGAAAAAATATCAATTTTCTACAAAAAAAGGTTATTAGTCGCTTTCATGCTTTTAAAGGAAATCTGTTAGTGAAGTCCTGTATTTTACAAAACAATCTGTAATTTCTAATCTATGGACTCAATAACTTTGAGTGATATTGATCACGTGACACAAGATGTTCACTTGAGTTCTTAAAAACTCTAAATCGAAATCAACTTTGTCAAAATTGTGTTAATCACATTGGTTTAGACTAATATAAGTAGTTTATATATTCCATTATGTCCTTATAGTAAATAAAATATATAAGTAACTTCCATTTCGTTTTCTGATATCGGTACTATGATCATCATTGAAACATGATTCGAGGCTTTCTTTTAGGCCATGTGCTCGTGCATGGTTCTATTTTTTATCAGGTAAATCATTACTATCGCCGCAATTCTGTGGAAGTATGATATGTTTTGCCACATATTTATGAGAACGTGATTTAATCCAATTTTTGAATATTTGAAGTATTCTCGAACAATTTTGAAGTGCGTCCATAATAAAACTTTGTAAAATGTGTCAGTCAACACAATTTAATAGAGTTTTTTTGTTGTAAAAGAAATAGCGTAGTATGTTCATTTGTATTGTTTGAAAAGAAAATTATTATGTTGATTGCTATTCTTAGATGAAAAACATATATATTCTATTTAAACTTTGTTACGAGATGAAGTGCATCTAAAGATTGATAAATTTTTGAAACAAATGAAACATGATAGTTCTATTGATTGGTATATTGCGGTAATAAAGTCTAACATTTTGCTCGAATAAAAGTCAATTGTATTTGACCTTGAGGATACTCATGCTCTACAAAAACTTTACAATTCAATGAACTATTGTCGACATCAAAACATGATGTCTACCGATGTTTTTTTGAATACCTTGTGAATGGCGCTGACGATTTTTTACCATTCAATAAAAAGACTAGAAGCACTATAAAGTACCAAATTATCTGGGCCATGCATTAGTCAATCTAGTCAGCTTGTGCTATCGACTATAACTAGATGTTTTGGAAAAAATTTTTTCAACTAATTATGAGTTCCAATGAAGTCAATCGATAACAACGATATTTATGTGTCAATCTACACAAGGCTAACTCCTCTAACTTATTCAAGTTAATGCTTATAAGCGTTTTATTCTAAGCTTTGAAATCGGTTCACTGACTATCGATCAATCGAAACTGAATTGAGATTATGATATCTGACTAAGTTAATTCGAATGATGATATTTATTTGTAGTTGTGAAGCAATTTAATGAGGGAAAGACCCGGTTCAAAAAGCATTCTTTCTGACGTTGGAATTTTTGTACAGATTAAATTGAATATCCCAAACTCACTACACTTTAGTTTGATCAATATTCCATTTTTCGATTTCAAAGCTTCTAGTAAAACGTTTATAACTATTGAATAAAAAATGCTAGAAGAGTCAGCCTTACGCAGATCAACAGAAAAATGGTGTCGTTATTTTTTCGAATAGTGAAAAATGTTACTTTCTAGCTGGCTGCAATCTAGTGATATTCAAAAAACATCAAATTGCATTTTATTTTGGTGTCAAGAAACAGTATCAAAAAATATAAAAAAGGAGAATAAAAACAATGTTATAGCTTTAATAAATAAAACATCAATAATAACTATCGAAAGCATTAATATATATCCTTTGGTCATGCAAAGTAACTTTTGTTATTTTCACAAACATATTTTTCTCTCGCACTTATTTCCAGCCACCACATATAAAAAATTTCTATTGGAATATTGCATCCTGCACAATAAATAATCAATGATAGAATTTACTCTTTGCTATGTCCTATTTCGTCAAGTCATATTGACACATTTTGTAGTATACGGCTTTTTTGCGGTTGCCCGTTGCAACGGAACAACTTGAGTGTGCGTGAGAAAAAAAGAAAAAAAAATGTGTAAGAGAGAAAGAAAACGTATATATATATACAACCGTCAGGGATCACTCACAACTCTCATGCATACACAGTGTGTTCGAGTAAGAATGAAAATAGGCGAAAGTACACTATATAGTAAGAATGTTGTAGGAGATAAACAAGCACGTTCTCATTTATACCGATACTCGCTTCTGAGTTGCTATTCATTCAATATGATCATCCGAAGACTCGTTATATTTCTTTTTCTTTTCATTCTTGCCGGTGCCAATCCAATTCATCAAAATATTAAGTAAAGAAAGAGAAGCAAAGACTGTTTTCTAAATTTTTTTTCGACTAAACGATCGATTTATTACAGGGATAATGAATATCGTCAACGACGTAGTTTTGAACTTACAAAATGGCAATTAGCTGATAAATTATATAAAGATCTTTCTCAGAATGATAATCATCGAATTGAAATTGAAAAAAGATTTAAACGTTCAGATATTCCACTAGAGTTAAGACCTGTCGAAGGACCCATTAATATTGAACAATTACCAGCGATGTTAGCAGCAAGATATGTCAAACGTTATCCATATTCACAACGAGATGATCCTGAGATAATGTGAGTGACAATTGTTATTTGAAAATATTGTTGAACTATTTCTTTTTTTTTTTTTCATTTTAGTGGTTGATAAAAGTTGTCGTGTTCGTGAAACTTTATTCAAAGAAAAGAAAAAAGATTATCACACGGAATTTTACTATATTTTAATTAGGCAGATATTAATCAAAAAGTTTTTTTTTCACTAATATATTTGTATTGTCTTGTGAAAGTTTTTGGAAAGGAATGGATGATCTATCTATGTATGACAAAAATATTCATTACATGCTCTAGTTCCATCAATGCTATTAAATGTCTACTTGCCTATTTTACCCTGCTTCTGAATAATATTTGACAAAAATGAATAACTTTTATTAAAAATTGCTATTTGAATTGTACAAGAGAAAACTTGTATCTAAGTAAAAGTTTAGACTTATTCTTCATGTCGAGAATGTTTACATAACATTATTAGTTTAGCTCTCATGACAAATTGAATAATTTACATTCAATATGGTAGAAAAACTTATAAAAAAAAAAGCAAAGACAATTATTCAAGGAATTTTATCTAAAAGACATGAAATTTCTTGCCTGAAATATATTTCTTAGGTACTTAATTCTTATTGTCTATGAGTATATGTACAAATGACTATGTATTTAGTGGTATCTACTTTTCTCAATACTTAATTACAATGATCTTTATTTGTTTTTTTGACAGTCAATGCAAACGTTCTATTTGATAATTTTTTTTTAAATGTAATATATATAATAAGGCAATAGGAGATGTGATGTATAAAAAAAGTAAAGCGACACTTGTATACAAAAAGTATTTCTTTAGTTTATAACACATACTGTTGAGTTCATTATCGTGACATGAAATGTGTTCGATCTAAAAACGCATTTTTTGCAGTATGAGAACATGAGATTATTAATTCTAGTATGTCTACTATTGCTCATAATCTTCTGTCTATTGATCTATATTATTGACGAATAGATCGAAATTTTTTATTTACTAATGAGGAATTCTCTATGTATGACTCTCCAATCAAACTGATATTTCGCCTATAAGTGTAGGCCCCAATGAGATTATTAGAAGTCTATAAGGATTTGCCTCCATGCATTGCTCGTTGCAAGTTATTACAATTTCAATTATGTTGTTTATTAGTGGGACGGTATATTTAAAAGAAAAAATGAATCCGAAATTTCAAACTGAAATTTCGCTCACTAGTAGATCTCGTGGACCTGAAAATGCTCTGAAAATTTCAGACGACAATAATATGTTCTTCTTCAAATATTGCATATTCAAAAACAATCATGTGCCACAAGGAAAGGTAATGGGGACCAGTGTTTTCAACATTCCATATTTCAAGAGTAACACATATTTTTCGTTTGCAATTTTCAAATTATTGTAAAAATCTAAGAGATTTACCCACGGAAAAAATTTCAGTTCGAATGGTTGGTCACAGTTGGTGGGCTTCGCTCGTAAGTCATAAATTTCATGAATTTACTGCTGGATTGGGAGTATTGAAATAGATCGATGCTATGTCTTCCATTCATTATTTAAGGTAACTCAAAATAGGATTGCTTATTTCATTGTATCGAATAAAGTTGTAACATCGACAGTATTCTTTTTTGAAATGAATTACGATGTGACTATCACAATTATCTATCACATAGAGAACTTGCAAACTTCAGTCAACAGATTGAAACCTTGTATTAATATATACACATAAATTCAATACATAAATATAAGTACGAGTAAATACCTTCATAGATACCTATATGTATATCTGACTTAATATTTTCTGATTTAACAATGTATAGATGAGTATTGAAGATACGTTAGGAAATCAAGTTGATCACTGTCAGCCATCAGCAAAGAGAAGTGTCGAAGATGTGACACACTCCTAATGATGGGAATTTTTGGTTATTTTTATTAGTCAACCGACAAGAAAACAAGCTAGTGCAAAATTTGCAAATTTCTTTTTCCAAAATGCATTTCTAACATCCTGTAAAGTGAAACGAGGAATTTTTCCTTCTCTACTCAAAAAGTAACCACTATACAATCCTAGTTTATCTAAGAAATATGTAATGTTTAGTTTGAGCGACATGTTACGAAGTTTTTACGTTTGAGAAACTTCAGTTTTTAGACAACCGTGACGAGTGAAGTCGCCTTCGTGAGTCAATATTTTTAAGAAATGTTGTAACTAGTATTTAACAACAGTTTAGCTTTTTGAATGAAATTATACGAGATAGCGAAATTTTTAATCATTGTGGAAAAAGTTGCACACCGAGAAGTAGTGCTCGTTGCATAACCGTAAGCAGTTTTCAAAGGCTTAAACTATAAATTCAAGGAAATTTTGATCCATTATGGTTTGTAAAAAGGAGGATTGGAATCAATAATTGCTAACGCGAATGCTTTCATTGTTACAAGTAATGAGGATGTTTTTGAAATTCATATACCCATACTTTTCTTCTTCGAAAAAAAAGGTGAGATAAAATCGAGTTATTTTTTACATTATAACATGCTTCTGAATTGAAAATCTTTCTTACACCATAGAGAGCAAAAAATGAAATAACAGTAATTCAGTTGAGAAAAGCATGCGATACGTCCTTCTAATCTTGATCAGCTCAGCAATTCTCTGTACATCTCACCTTTTTTATGTATGTTTTCTTTATACGATAAAATTAATTGAACTGTATTCTCAATACAGAGCAAACGCTTAGCATTCAATCGCCATTTTAAATACGTACAACCTCGGGTATAGTTGAAACCAAAGCGACCGGTTTGTCAATTACCGATTCAGTTGAACTTTCAAAACCGGCTTGGTTTTTTGATAATTTTCCAGGCATGAAAGCCGGCCTATTTTGCTCGTGTTTAACGATCTCCATAGTTTTAATGATTAAGAGATTTAGGTATGGAAGTTCACAACTGACATATTTCTGTTCTTCATCAAAGTTTCAGCTCTAAATATTGACCTAATACTTTCTCATCATAAGATGAGAGTCTCTGTTCATTCTGAATGAATTTATTATGCTCACGAAAAGTTACTCAAATATTAGCAGTTATTACCGATCTAAAACTACAGATTTTTCACCTTGAAATTTTCAGCTCTTTTTCTAAACTACTTTTTATCGACTCTCAGAAATTTCCGATAGCTAGTGGTTTTTAGTTCATTCTTTCATTTTAAAATGTTTAAAAAAATTGCGTTTTGTCGACATCCTATTATGAATTGAAACGCTTTTAAGTTGTGTTAAATAAGTATTTCAAATAAGAACAAATCACACCTATAAATCGTAAAGAAACCATGCAATTATTGTAGAAAAATCAGTCAATGTATGGTATTGATGTTCATTGCCATATGTTACCAAATGACATGTTTGTTCGTACTGAATGTTAGCACATATATGAAACGTGACAGACTCAAACAGGAGCGGTTACCATTAGAAAATGCAAGGTCACATCAGTTTCACATTGTATGCCTTTTTAGAACTGGTTGCTTAATTGATATATAAAATGCGTAGACCGATATCAAGTATTCAAGTAGGAACTTGGACAAAAACTATTTTATATTCCAACCCCCAAAATTTCAAAGATCAAAGTAGCTCTAGTTATCAGCATAGCTATATGTATCCCAAGAGTTAAACATAAGATAGTCAAACAAGAAGAATCATATTGCATTAGAATTAGAGTTATTCTCGATAATAAACACCCTATTAGGAAGTGCTTGCTTGTAAAAACTGATAAAGCTATGTCTTCATGAGAAGCATGCATTTGGTGTATTGATTATTCTAGATGTCACATATGTACGATTATAATTTAGGAAAACATGAAAGTAAACTTAATGTTTCCTTTCAATCTTTTGCAAAAATATTTTCATTTAATTTATCTATTTAAATTGCTGTTGTAATTGCAATTTAATTACGACATTGATTTTAGTCGGATTGAAGGTAAAAGAAAAAGAACGGCAACTTCATCAAATGTAAAATGAGAGATTCATCTTGTCGTAATCCTATGATACTAAACAAACTTATACAATTCATTTTATACAAACGTAGTCGTAGAATGAATTACCTGTGAGATAGACAAAAGGAAAATTCAGCTATAGAAGTTTTATTAATGTTTTTTTTGTTTTGGTTTCTCATAGGAGTTTATGTATTACCTAGAATACGACAGGTGTAGACTTATTTAGGAACTAAAACATCTGTTAAGTTCACAATTGTTTTGAAGAAGTTTGATCATATACATGAACATAAAACTCTTCATGAATTCTGTTCTGTTTTCTGCTACGAAGTAAACAATGACCAATCATCAGAGAACTTTATTAATTTCAAACTAAAGTAATTCTTTCAAAATACATAATCTTTATACAATAAAGTTCAAATGAAGAATACATTTTTTATTACGTTATTCATAAATACACTTCTATATTTTTCTGTCACATTAGTAAACAGAACACTTATTAAGACGTTTTCTTTTTTATATTATGTATGCATCGCATAGGCATAAAATTTATATTCAAAGTATGAAGGTTTCAGAATAGAGCTTTTATATTAATTCGTCTTTAAAATTTAATATCATTTTATTGATAAATATTTGATCGCGCGGAGGAAAAAAAGATTGGTTGCGCTCGTTTATGACTGGCCAAAAAAGGAAACAAACGAGAGTAAAGCATTTTGACAGATGATCTATTTCCTTCCTTTTCTCTTTTTTTGCCGTCGTCGACTGTTCGCTGTCTTAGTACGTTCATACCTCTATTTTACTTGTTTCTCAATGCTACAAGGTCATATTGTTATTAATATTATTATTATCACTGATTGCTTTATCGTATTTTTCAGAACGTAGATGTCATGAATGAAACTACTGAAGAAAATAAAGTTGAACTTCCTCCACCACCACCACCAATACCAAATGTCATTGAAGATTCCATTGCATCCCGAACAAAAGAAATTACTAAAAGACCAAAACGTGAACGTAGTCCAAGTAAATAAAATTGATAATTTTTTTTTTATTATCATTCTAATTATTGATTTATTTAGCTCTACAAATTCAACCTCCTGCACCCAAGATAAAAAAAATCAAAGAGGTCGCACCGAAATTATCGGATAAAACAAAATGGACTATGGAAGAGCAGAAACAATTTTTTACTGCACTACGCATTGTATAAATGTTACTATATTGAAATAATTTTACTAACATATTATTAATTTTAGTATGGTAAAAATTTCGAAGCACTTGGACAATGTTTTAATACACGACGTCGTCTTGTAAATCCTGAGGCGCAAAAACGTACATTTGGTCAGATACGTTGTTTTTATTATCGTTCATTTCGTACAGTTTCAAAATTATGTACATTTACAGAAGGTTAAGTTTGTTTTCATTGTTTTATATATTTATTATAAATAGATTGTTTTATTAGAGGAAAAAAGTAATGTTGATTCGCTTGAGTTGCGTTCTGTTCTTGCTTATTTATGTTTAAAACCAAAAGTAAAGTGTAAGTTTATCAATAATAATCGATGAATATTGTTCCATTAGGGTTGATTTGTTTGATTTTTTTTTTTCTTAACGCAAAGGTTTTGATAAAAAACCAGCCATATCTATTCTACATCAACTTATTCGTAATGGTAGCGCATTTTTACGTGTCAAAGGACAACGAGAACATGTATCAATTATTGGTAAAGCATTGAAACCACCTAAAACAGCTAATACACTTGGTATGAAATCAAATTATTTGAAGATATATATTCGATGTTGAGGTTAATTTTAAGGTTCAACAAAACAAACTGATCGTACATTGTCGAAACATATTAAAGTTTTACTAAGTCCATCATCACCAAATGCGTATATGCGTGTTTCTTTATCATGTCGATATCCTCATGTTGAAGTTTTATTATCACGTACGACAACATTATATGAATTAATCGATAGATTAACCCAATATTGGCAATTAAATAATCATGCTCAATCGGTAAGTTTAATAGAATAAAATATTTCCTCATTAGATTAATCTGAAAGGTACTGGAGAAAAGGGTTTGTCAATAATATATGTTTTTTTTATAGTGTTAAGCAATTAGTTTAAATGTAGATAGTTATTTTAGTAGCCAATGGAGCTTTCTTTTACCTAGATTTCGTAGATGAACCACGACAGAACAGTTTCTAAAAAACTCGAACACGGTTGTTTTTACGTTTCAGAAGATTTTCTTCTAAGGAAAGGTAAAATGGTATTGTTAAAAGAAAGTTTTCCAGAACTTGAAAACTATTGTATCCGGGTTTTTAAAACTCTTGCCCTCATTATTTATCTATGAATCCTTGACAAAAGAAGACTTCATTGGCTATTACAGTTATATTTTCGATGGCAGCTTATTGCTTAATATTCTAAAAATATATGTTGTTGTTAAACTTTTCTCCGCTATCTTACATAATTAGATACCAAGTCATAATAGACATGTATTCTCTGATTACTAGATTATTGATAGATCATTTATATTTTTCTCTTGTTTTTAGTTATTCAAAGACGATTTATCTATGGAACAACTTATTTTATATCCTCACGGATCTCATTTATCTTCATCATCAATTGATTCTACATTAGTATCAAATGATTCAATACCTATACTCGATCTCTCTTCTTCAAAAAAACAATTGATCACTAATATAGATAAACAATCGCGTTCAAGATCCGATTCAGAACTTTCAACAGAACCTTTAACAGATCCTTCTGCAATAGTACAATCAAATGTAACTGTTAAACGAAATAATTTATCTGAAAGTGAACCATCAAATGAATCCATCGGTATTTCTATATCATCTACTTCTCCATCATCAACATCAGTTTCTTTATCATTATCATCAACGTCAACGGTAACAAGTAGTAATAAATCAAATTTAGCTCGAACAGCTATTTTACTTGCTGCTAAACGAGCGGCTTCTAATAATCATACAAATAATTATGATGCATCAATATTTACACTCATTGATAGTACGGAAGATGAAGCAGATAGTAATTTAGCTTCATTCAAACAGCGATTTGACATTCTTGATCTTATTGATGAAGTAAATTAATCTTTTTCTTAATATTTTTGTCGAATTTAATTATTTTATTCCTTCAGTTTCCATCTGAAGATGAGATTGAACCTGAAACAAATACATCAGCATCAATAATACCACCACCACCACCACCGCCATCAACAACAACACTTTCGACGTTAACGAATAATTCAACAGTTACTGTAGTTGATGTATCTCAAGGTATTACTCGAAATAATTCCTTATTTTCAACATTAAATATTGGTGAATTACAAAAATTACTGCAACGTCCAAAAGAACTTCGACTTATTTATGATTTTAATAATTTATCACGTACAACTAATACTAATGATTGTATATCTTCAACTTCATTTCTTCATTATGTTATACAAATGACCAATCAATGTTTAACAGCTATGGCTGATCGACAATCACAATTAGAGATGAAAACCACAAAAAAAACAAATACGAAAAAACAACAAATATCACGATCAAAATGCTACTGTTCCTGTTGTACTCATCAACATCCACTTAATACAAAAGAGCAAAGACGCCCATCGGCAAAAGCAGCTAATTCACCAAATGCTGAGATTTGCGCTCTATTACAAATGCCACAATCAATACCAACACAAGATATGATGATTGGTACCAATGATGACATTTTAACAGTGCAAACATCTTTACAAGGTAATGATACGATCATAAACATAAATAATACTTTATTAGGATGCTTCGCATCTTATAGCGATCAGTCAAGGCTTTTTTTTGTCTTTCTCGAATTCCCCATCCAAAGTCCATATTTTGCGATTTCATAATCTCAAGAGCGGCGCATCGCCTAATACTCGTTGAAATTTCATTAGAAACGTTGAGATCTCTATATGATACAAATTTTATCCGAGTTTCGATATGATATTTCATTGGCTCAAAGTAAAACCCGGACATGATAAATAATCTATGGATTCTCTTTTCATTATGTCGATGTAATGAAGCGCAACAAGATGATGTTCCTAGGAATGATTAACGATCGATCATACTAATGATAATTAATCAATAGACGATTGCTGACATCTTTAATGCGCTGCGAAGCATAGCATCTTTGTAGTCGATGGTGTACACATTCGGCCTCTATAGTTTGCTTGTCTCTTACTGTAACAAAATCTGTACATTGTGTCGTGATGATCTAAATAATGGGGAGTCACTAAAAACTAGTTGGAACTTTGTTAGAGAGATCGATTTCTCGAGATTATACCAATGTTTTTCGACTCTTCAATATGAGTTTTCTTTCCTCTTCAATAATAACACGTTGATTTTTTTCATCAAATCTGTATGAACAACTGATAATAGATAATGAATCATATAGATAATTGAACTATAGATCTACAGCATTTTCGAAAAGCATGTTAATAGAGTTCTCTTAGTAGTTTCTTATAAGCACAATACAAAAGGAATCTATTGCTATAAACTGAAAATATCTTGGACGACAAGCTGTTATGTAATTAATCGTAGAAATGCTTGTTTATTTTTTATGGAATATCAATTTTTTGGATGATCGACATTCGTAGCCTCTCGCACCACATTTTGCATCTGACTTTCTTGATATACATCTTGGAATCATTATTTTTTCAGTCGCAACTATCTACACATGGGAGAATCGTACGATATGCGTTCACACTTGTTGCAAAGTTCCGCTCGTTTTCAAACGCACTTCACTAAATGACAATGTCGCAGTGAAAACTTAGCTTTTTATTGAGTTTACTAAAAAAACGACGAAGCTCATGGCTACGAGTTAATCAAAACGAGTTTCAGCAATAACAGTAAATATTGATTAGATCAAATTTTGCTGCCACGTGTCGCAGTTTTCATCACACAGAACACCTTCTTCACATGTATATTCTAGTTCTTTCTGCGATAGGGAAGCAGAACGAATTGAAGATAAAATATGAAGAATAGTCTAGTCCAGAACTCTTATGCACCAAAACACTATACATTTCATGAGTTTTGGTATCATATCTATTAGTTTTCAATTAGCAAAAAATCTAATTTGTTTCGTAATAGTCGATTTGTGTTTAATTTAATCAAATGTGCCTTTAACTCATCGTTGTACTTTGTAAAATATCGAAACATGTTTTTTTTCTAAATTTGATATATCGACTAAGTCGAACGGTTGATAATTTGATAAACGATGAGTCCAGCTTGGCAGTGTCCTTCGCACTATAGACTTTGTCTGTGTGCCAACTAGTTGTTTATACAAAGAGAAAAAGGAAAACTTTGAATGATAATGTGCCATTTGAAACGAAAGTATGATCTCCAACGAAAAATTCTCCAATTTTGTTTTTCAACATTGATTTGTTATCAGATTTGTCAAAAGACGTAAAATACTTATACATAGGTAATATGGCCAACAACACGAATAAAGTATCAGATGGAGATTTACACAATAAGTGAGTTGATTTTTCTTGAGAATATTTATTAAATAATTTCCAGAATTTGTCATAGACCTTACACATTAACACAAATTGATGAACAACCCGATATTTTTGATACGCTTTCTTGGCCAACTGAAGCAGGAAGAAGGTCTTTAGAGCAAACTCAAGTTCCTCCGTTACCTTCAACAACATCATCGGTCAATACCACAACTGAACTTCCATCTGTATTGACTTTATTACTTCCGATGATAAATGGAACTGAGTCAACTTCTGTTCCTCAACCAAAACAATCTGCTATCATTTTCAGTAGTAATAACGGTGTCATTGATGATCCATTAATACAATCTTTAGCTGCTGAACAAGCTGCATCTGCACATAATTATGATCTCTTATCACATCGACATAAACGCGTAAGTAATATCTTTAGGGGCCGTTCGATTTCCTTTCTGGCTATGAACATCGAAATTTTTCAATTTTCGTTTTGTCATTGCCAATACAACTTCGAACTATCTTTTATCAAATGCCATATAAATGAACGGTCTTCTTCGTTAGTTAGTACTTTAATAAAATCCAACTTTCGATATTTCTAGTAGGAAAGTTTTACGCTACGAGTGTTCTTTTCTAAACAAAACTTCCCTAATGGTAATCATGAATTCTTATTTCAAAGATGCTTGGAACATAAATCATGAGCCTATCATACAGGCGAACATTGCCAATTTTCGATCACTTTTTTTGGAGAACAAGGCCTGATGAATACAAAGAATGTGTTTTTTTGTTTTCTTTAAAACGTTGTTCCTACAAATTACGGCAGTCATTAAAAACCCAGTATCAGTAAAAAAAACATGGTTTGCTTTTGACAGTACTTCCACTATTTTGCTCTTCTTAAGCTCTAGAAATGATATATTTGAAAAAAAACGAAAAAAACACGCATCTCGTTTGGGTCCGAGTTGTCGTTAAAAAATTTGCAACTCGTCAAAACTGAATTATATTACGATCCCTATATCTCTCTGAAGAATGCATTTGAGAATTTTGAGTCTGACAATTTTTGCTTTACTTATTGAGATTTATCTGCCTTGAAAGTTTCACTTTTTGTCGAGACCTTTCCAAGCAATCCTGATAGGAAGAGAATCCTCTTAAAATAGTTCTCTTTTACAAAATTGCATTGTACATTTGTTTTATAGGTACGACGTCCATTACGTTATGGTGATCAATCGATGCGTCCTTCAAATATTCAACTTTTAATTGGTAAATAAAACTCACGTTATTTCTTCGAATAATATTTGTAATCTTTTATCTTTAGATGCAAATATAAATGCCCAACAAACAGCAGCAGCCAATCAACGTCTCATGTTTAGTACAAATAATACACCTGATCTTTCGACATCATCGAATGATGTATTTCATAATGATTGCGAAAATCCAAGTAATAATCAACAAATCTTTCTAATTTTGTTTTTACATATGATTTCTTTTGAAGATGATCTTCTAAATGATAATACCAATATGAGCACAGTTTCATTAAGCAGTATGCTAATCTATCTGATATTCATATAGAATTTATTTATTTTATTCTATTTTTCTAGCCACTATTGTTAATGCAGCATTACAAAGCAATACTTCACGATTACGTCTTGATTGGCCGGATAATGTACGTTTTGTATTGTTTAACAGCGAAAAAAGAGTGATTTATTTTAAAATGTTTTTTTAGATGTCTGATTTATCATTTGGTAGTTTTCCAGATTTACTTGAATCTAATACATTATCGTCAACACCAGGTGAACTTAATAATTTTGAACAGTCAACCATAACTGATACAAATGAACAAAATAAATGTGTGGTTAGTTTTATTTTTATTTGTTAGTCAAATGATTTTCTTTTTCTTTTTTTTTCATATCTAGTCTGAAACTTCAATTTCAGAAGCCATGTTTGCCATTAATAACACGACAAATTTACTACTTCAAAATTGACTTCTAGCTTTAGTTTTATTATCATTTAATTTCCTAGTCAAACTTAGAAACATGGATGATAATCTAAGTATAAAAAGACTTTGTACATTATGTCTGATCAATTGTCATGCAATTTTGAGTCAGTGAAGAGAACCAAATGTAATCAGCTATAATAAGAATTTCATGTGCTTTCGTATGATAGATTCAAACTATTTTTCTGGCTTAAAGTCAGCTTATTTAGAGTAAACATTTGGAAGCAGCCGACAATGACGTTTGTACAGAATTTTTCATGTAGTTTTGTTTTCTAGTTTGATCAATGTTGTTCCAATTCAGAACTCAAAAAAGCTCCTTTTTATACATTAGTTTGTAGAGTGAGACTTGCTTTGATCTTTCCATATCACTACAGAGGATCGAAATCTAGTGAATTTTAACGGAAAATTAGAAAGCTTTTAGACGAGACATTTGTTCATTTTGAACCCGTTAGTAAGTATTTCCAACGAGCCACAAGCTATGATTTTGTGCTCTTCTCGAATATGAGCTGAGAAATGTTGAGTAGGATTTTGTTCGAGAGTAGCAACATTATCTTTGAAAAGCTCAAAAAATTAGTTTGGACGAAAAATTTTTGTGTTTTTACTATTGTGATTCAAAACCTACACTTCGGATCTTCATTTACACATCAATTTGTAGATCAGAAGATAGCCTACAATGTTTTTTTGTCTTTGAACAACGTCTAAGTACTCATTTTTGAAAAATTGACAATTGCTTTACGTTGAAAGGAGCTCTCGAAAAACTACGTAAGTAAAAGCCACAATTTTGTTCAACATCATATTTTGCAAAGAAATCTGCACTTTACAAAAATGCCGACGCAGACGATTTTTAGCATGTTCGAAAAGGGACATATAGAATAAACAAAAAGTTCTTGCGTCACCATTAAAAATAATTTCTTAGACCTTTCAAAAATCTTCTCACTATTCTTGAACAAAAACTGAGAAAAAATTTCTAAGACCATATTCGAAAAAAGCACAAAATCATAGGTTTTGACTCGTTTGAAATATTTTCCACTGGGTTAAAAAGAAATCAACATTTCGTTAAAAAATTTCCAACTGCATATTAAACATTGAAATTCAAAAAATGTTTATAGCTTTTGATTCCTTTGAGTTTTAACTTAATATAATCCATGATTTAGTAGAAAATTAAAAATTTTCATAAATTTCATCGACAGAAGTTAAAAATGACAGAACAACACCAATAAAATAACGTTTTTTTTCTATTTACTTCAATATTTACTTACAGTTAACCAACCGTGAGTCGAGAAAAAATTTCTAAATATACAGTTACAAAGAGCAACAATTCTGATTCTAACTGATTACTTTTGCTTCTCTCTAATGCTTTATAAGTGAATGAAAATTGACTAAACATATTGTACAAAGATTCTTGGTACGTAGATTATTGAGATAAATATATGTCTGGTTGTGGTTTTCTTATCTTAACTTTTTTTTGTTTTGTATTCTTGAAATGAACTTTTATGTTAATACTCGCATTTGGCTTTTCTTTATTGTATTTGCATTATTTGGCTTTTTTTCTTCCATTGTATGTGTACTTTCTGCAACTGTTATTCGATTTCCATCTTTTTTTTTTATTTTGGAAAGGTAGTTGGCTATTTTTTTTCTTTTACTAAAGAAAAGAATATTAGAACAATAAAAAAAAAAGATGCAGGATATATATATATATATATGTATAACAAACTTTTTAAATGTATATGCTTAACTTTTAGGCTTAGTCGAATCAATATGTATTTTATACAAGAGCTGATCGGGATGATAAAATTCAGAAGTTAACAGATTTCTTTTTTATGAATTCAATTTTCAACTGACTTGTATACATAATACTTTAACTTATTCATAAAGAATATGAATTGTTTGCACAAATCAAATAGTTTGTTACTTAAAAGGATGCTTTGATCTTGAATAATTCAAAGCAAATATTTCAACAAGTATATTCGAATTTTTTTCTAAGTAATATTTACTACCAATCAACCAATCATAGCACTATTTAAAACATTTGTTTCTTAGTGCTTGCTATTAAATAGTAAATTTATCGTCATAACAGACCTCTACAAGAAAATGATTATGAGCAATTATGGGTACTATTACCAATGCGGTGTTGTGACTCACATTTTTCTCTTACTCTTTACACATCTGATTAGGTTTCTGTTTATTCCTGTTCTACTACTCTCCATATGCTGTTTTTCTTCGACATACTACTAGAACACAGTACAAATAAAAAAAAGAGCGTATGTAAATGTGTGTGCATGGAATATTCCTCATTCTGTTTGGTTCGCCTTCATTGACAGGGATAGCTACCAATAAGCTTGCCGTCTACAATAACTCAAGTTGCTGGTTTGTTAGGTGTGTAGAATACATTATATGCGATAAAGTTTCTCAGCAAGAGTTTTTATAAATATCAAAACAAATTTTGTAAAGAGGTGAGCATATTTTAATCAGTCACATACTTAGAGAAAAATTAAGTAAAAACTTATATATTGATCGATTTTAATTACAAAAAAGGACAAAATTTCAAATCTATGGCATTTTTTTCATAGAATTATATATTTATTTAGACGTATGGCGTGTTTTCTGGAAATTTTAGCATAACTCTATATTATAATTTATGAAGATGTCTCTTATTGATGTAGCATACTTATAATTTTACTAGCATTGTAACTTCCTTTTTTTTAAATATTATTATCCAATGACATCGAATATAACGTGATATTCTTCAGAGTTTAAAAGGAATAATCTAATTTTAATTTTAAGTCTGTTTCTAATCTATAATATAGAAAAATTACTAGGAATCGCTTATGAGATTTATCTTCTGAAAACCTATTCAGGATATTTGAGAAACTTAGTTTTATGTAGGTTTTATCTTGCATCAATAGTTAAACTAAAACATATTGATTTTTTTGGCTTGGAAGTATAGTATTGAATATTTAAGTAAAAAAAAAGAGTTCACTAAGTCGAGTGCTACTTTTCTTTTTATTCAAGGATAAACAATCGATCATAATTTAACGAGAATGATTATAAAAAAAAAGAATTCATCTTATTCAGTTCTTTTCCTGCAATAGTTTGTTTCAGTTTAACAACAACCATTAGTTATTTAGCTTGAAATAATGACATCAACAATGGAATCTCTCGAATTCAATGGTTGGTTTGATTATAAGCAATTAAAACGAATTGATAAAGAATGCCTTTATAGTCCGCTATTTTATTCTTCAATTAATAATACTACATGGTGTTTACAAATAGACAGATTGCATCCAACTAAATTAGGTATATACTTAACGTTAATTGATACTGCTCCATGTACATTATGTTCATATACAATTTCAATGATTACTAATACAAAACCATCTCTACTAATTTTTACTAATAAATGTACTCAACCACGAATATTTCCATCAAATGGTTTCTCATGGGGTTTTGAAAATTTTTGTACACGTCGTGAATTAAAAGATGAACGACATCTTATTTGTGATCCAAAAACAAAATTAGTTAATGTACGATGTACTATGAATATAGATATTTTAACTTCGAATAATATTACTGATGATCATCGTTTAGCAACTGATTTATTTCATACACGTTCGCTTGAACAATGGATTGAATTTTTAAAGCAAAACAATGATCTACCAGAATTGACTAATAAGGTAAATCAAGAAATTGAAAAAAAATTTAAATTGACATCTTTATAATACGAAATCTAGTGTTTGATCATCAGTGTTATTTGTTTTTGGTTCAAAATAAAACTGAATAAAAAATTAGTATAGTTTTTAAAATTACCATACACGAATGTTTCATAAATTTGTATGTTAAAAAAATTCATTGCAAAATATTGAGACACAAAAAAAAAATATTATTTTATTTAAGATAAAATTAAGCTTACAAACATAACTGAGTTTAAAATAGAAATATGCAGCTGTTTTCATTTGACCTGACAGCAAATGTCTGTACATGATATGCATTTTCTATATTTTACACAATAATCTATTCATTTGTTTCGAACTTCATAGAACAATACAGTCAAGTAACAGTATCTTATTCTTGTGTTTTTTTGTCTATTTACATTATTCATTCTTTACATCAATTATGTCTAGAGAGACACTTCATTGTGTCCGAACATACGAATGACCACTTGAATATGAGTTGATATCAGCCGCCAAACAACGAACTATTGTGATACCAATAAGCTACAATAATAAAAAAACAACTTATTCTATAATATTGACATATCAACTAATCCTACCAAGGTTAAACTCATGAATAAAACTAATCCACCATTCATTCCTAGCATAAACTTCTCTTCAGCATACTAAAAAGAAGATTTGACAATATTGTCATTCATATAGAATTAATCAAAATAGACATGAAATCGTTTCAAAACTTACAGTTCTCTCAGTTACATTTGGATTGTTTGATTGACGCATAAACTCATCAACTTGTGCTACAAATATTTCATTGATTTTCTTCAATTACAAGACCAAAAATGAATAAGTAACTCAAACTTACATGCAAAAATTATACCAATAATACCAACCACTATGCCAATAATCATTAAAAACCATAAAGATAATTCAAACTAAAACAATTCAATAAACATCATGCATAAAAATAAGTATTTTGTTTTTGCTTTTTTACTTACGATTTTCAATAATACTAAACGTAATGTAAAAAAAGCAATAAGACCCAAAATACTCATAAAAATACCTAATGATCCAATAATAACAAGAAGAATACCAAAGCCTAACTCACGACGATAGATTTCATTTGAAAAACTAAGTACAGTTTCAAGACGTGGAATAATAAGATGCCATGCACCAAGTACAATAAATGCTGCTGATTCAATAACAAGAAGAAAAATGAACAAAAGTGAAACTAAGATAACACAAAAATGTAATGGTCGTTCACGAATATTTGTTCTTGTCCGATATTGATATTGACGAGATTCATGTTGATTATGCATCCGTTTGTATTGAACAAGGTCGTCGTTCAATGCCGTCACAAGAATTGATTATGAATGTGAAATAAAATGAGTTGAACTAACGATAGAAGAGTTATGCAAATGAAAATAAATGGTGAAGAGAATGAGAGAGACAGAGAGAATGAAAGAAATAGACGAATGAAAGAACCAGTAAAAAAAAATGAAAAATGCTACTAATGTTGGTAATGTCACTTCTCGAGTAACTGGCGATGTCGTGAGAAAAGAAAAAGAAAAGTATATACAGCAGAACTTTTCTTCTTTCTGTCTCGTTCTGTCTTTGTCGCATTTTAGCAGGTGAAAAATCGGTCGGATGAGTTGTCATGCTATCCAAAAGAAAACCGGAAAAAAACAGCCGAACCAGGTATAATTATATTGTAATGCAAGTTATCGCAAAAATTAATATCAATACATGTTTTTAATTGAGTTTACTTTGATAGGAAATCATCGATATAAATTATTGTTGAATATAGACCAATGATTCTTCTATCTTGGAAATTCAAAAGGAAATTTAAAGTTGTATTTAGATAAAAAAGAGAGAAATAGGTTGCTCTAGTCGCTAAAATTTTTCTGGGTTATTTCGAGATCACTTATGCGTCATATAAGGCATGAAGAAGCATTTGAACTTGTATGTTACTATTCATAGTTCCCTAGTGATAAATCGCTTTGAAGCTGGAATCAGATTATATCGATAGGTTCTAATGAGTTAGTAAATATCCTGAAATGATTTGAGCCGCTGAATCTTTATTGCTATGATATCAAATTCCTAATGGATTTTTCTTTATGATATTTGTTTTCAAGCGAAATGCCACTTTTGAATTTCGACAGGAAACTTTGATTACATACAAGTATCGATCAGACTAACTGGTAGAAAGAATTTCAGAATTTTTTTACTAAACCTTTTCAAGATATGAGTTTTTCAAAATACTCATGGGTGTTACAATAATCATGATATAGCGTCTATATTTTAAAATATTCGTATCTTGGAAAGAGTTGATTAAGAAATTCCTAATTTTTTTCTGCAAGCTAATCTAGCTAGTACCTTCACGTAGATAAATTTTCAGATGAAAATTCAAAAGTATGATTTTCACTTGAAAACTGCGGTCCTACAAGCAAAATCCACTAAACATTCGAGATTTCAGCAACTCGAATCACTCCAGGATATTTACATTCTCACCAGGTCTTATAGATTGAATAGAGTCTCAGTTTGAGAGAAATTTATCATTTGGAGGTCTTTTATTTTTATAAGTATGGATTAAAATGAAATATTTTAGAAATAGTCATTAAGATGCGTGTGTTGAAAAATGCTCGTTTTGTCTTTTTCAGAGAATTCATGTAACCTAATTCTGTTAATCATAACACTCTATAAGTTCTTAGGTAATATGTGTCTTATCTTATAGTTCTTATGTTTTATATGAATCACAACACTGAATCTGTATTTACATGTTCTTTAGAGTAGAAAAAAAAATTATCTAAAACTTATATATATGTCCTAGATTTCATTTGAAAACTCCGATTATTCATAAAACTCTTTATTTATCATTTCTATAGGCATTAGAAAACTCTTCACGAATATGAATTATAAGTTTTAAGCTGAGATAATCACTTACTACTGTTCATATTATGTTTCATATTGTATCAAGAAACATCAAAATCGATTGTCATTAGACTATAGATTTAGTTTTTCTTTAAGATACTCTCGAATTTAATTGCTTCACCAATTAAACATGAGAAAGGGTTTTCTAAAACGAAAATCAGAGAACTTAATTTCGAAATATATAATTTTCAAAATGACATATACATATAAATATGAACATGAATTTATTTTGACATATGGAAATTTCGAAATTACACACGATTTTAAAAATGATCGTTTAATATTCGGACAATTTATCTTTTTAAAATCTAACGATTGTTATTGTTGACAGATACATATCAGTTTATTATTTGCATACTTTTATTCTTCACATTTGACTGACATAATGTGAACGAAGAAGAACTTTTATTAAAATATTGTTGAAAGTATTTGGAAAATTTTCTTCTCAATGTCAATTTCAAAATATATTATGGATTTATAAAATAACGTCGCGTGCTATACAATAAACATCAATTACATGTACGATGATGCCACATGAATAATGAAATAAAACTTTTGATCTGCTATGAATGTTTTCTATTTCATTAGACTTATTAAAACTAGTACCTCTTATTAGATTAAATTACGTACAATTCATTCTTCATCTGTTAGTATATAAAGTGTTTTTTAAATGAATAATGTGAAAAATAAAATATTATTAAAGAAGAAATAGTCAGAGATCAATTTATTTTATCAAAGATTATAACACTACATCTTATCATGGCAAAAATATGAATATGAAACCCACATGCACATACTCTTCCTAATAAGAGTAGTATAATTGAACTATTACTTGACTAGTATCTAATCACTGTTTATGAATAACGGAAGGGTCGTCGTTTATAATACAAGTCAAAACTTAATACGAAGATACAAAGTATTGACATATCATGTGAGATTTTTAAATAAAATTCTTGAATAATATTTATTAAGACCTTTCAATCTTCAAAAATTGGTCTGGAACCGGACATATTCAAATTACATGAAATTTTCAAGATATATTGGGACTATAGTCAAGAGACTATGGTAAACTTTTTAGTTCTATATCATGATATTTTCAGGATATATGCCACATATAATGTTCTTATATAGCTCATATGGCAACTCAAAATTCTCTGTAGGCTTTCATTTGATATACTTGCATTCTTTTTTTTGTCGGAAAAATTATGTCAGGATGCAGAGCATGACAAAGTCCTTTTTTTTTAAATTTATACTTTTTAAGCTGAGAGAAGATCAATACCTCAAACAACTCACAAAAAAAATGCCGCTCTAATTATAGAAGTACACTTTTATATAATAACAATAAAGCTTAATTCAATAAAAGGGCTGGGTCATCTCTTGCATCTTGACATATTCTTTCAAATTAAAAAAACTCAATGTGTCATAATGAAGCTTCTTTAAGAATTTTCAGATGCACGATTAAAAAAGCAGAAACAGAGAAAAAAACGAAAAAGATTTTCTGTTTTTTTTTTTCTTTTTGAAAATGGCATATTTTTTAAGTAGGTGATGACAGAAACCATAAAACATTTTTTCACAAAAACCATGGTGTCATATTAGAAAAATTATGTCATTTATGACAGATGAGTCCTCGAGCTATGCTGTCATGTATTTATCTTAATTTCAATAAATCTGATAAGAATTGACTTTTTTTTTTTAGGGAAGCTTCATAAGTTACTCCGTGCTTTATCGATCTCATTGTGACTTTTCAACATGTTTTTTTTTAATTTTGTGTTTAATAAGATTGCATACTGAGCATTAAAAGAAGTACTATAACCTAGACATTGACATTATTCAATATTAATTACTTAATTAGAGACTACGACTGATGAAGCATGGGATGACTTCTTAAGATATGTTACTCAAAAGTCTACTAAAAAGAAATCAGATGTGTTTATTAAGACTTTGTATCTTTTATAAGCATTTACTTTTATGCTATTCACATGTATCTAGATCAATTTGTTCTAACCATAAACTCTAGATCTAATATAAAAATTACGATTGGCAAGCATTTTGTCGTGGCTAATATAAATTGTGTATTTTATTTAAAATCATAGTTTTAGGATATTTATATTTATATGATATATTCACAGGTAACATTTGTATAGTTCAACATGATCGATCAAAGACTGTGTCTAATCATTCATATTTGATACATTTCACGAAGAATAGTTATCCTCCTTTCTATCAATAAAAAGATTGTTAATATCACTGGAGTCTTGAACGATTTTGTTTCAGCTTACAATCAATAAAATTTATTGATACGTGTATTGGAAATAAAATTAGTTCATTCGTTGTGTCTAAATTTTACCAAAAGTAAATAAAAATTATCGAAAAAAAAAACATAGTAAACTATTGTAATATATTACAACATCAAATAAACTTTTATTACTTTTTATTCTTCTACATTTTGTAAGGTGATTACGAATATTTCCATTCAATCGTTTCTCTCATCATGTTTTTGTATAGTTTACAAAAATAGAAAATACTAATACAGCTTTGTAAGTTTTAAAAAAAGATAGATTAGCAAAACGATAAAGTCAAATCGAGTTACGATGTTTCTTTATAGACTGAAGCCTCTTGTTTAGTTAATCAATAAAAAACAAAAAACAATAACTTTAGTCAATACTAAAACATCAATATGAACATATTGTCCCGAAATGAAAGAAATGAATTAATCGTTTGAGCCTATATTTATTTAATCTACCGGACATATAGTCGCCGTAACTTTATGCATTGTCTTTGATCCCGAAAGACTTTTGATGACAACGAATGACGATTACAACATTTTCTTTTCTCTTGTTTTCTCTTCTCTCTTGTTCTTTTTTTACTCAATAACTGACACATTCATTGTCAATTTGTCGACAATGTATATAACACTATTATTATTGAGTATGATTCTAGCATTGACAAATGCTGATTGTGGTGAAGAATTTAAAATAATATGTTATTTTTCATCATGGACTGGCATACATCCCGAAGCAAAAAATTGTACACATATTGTATATACATTTGCACGCATTGAAGATGATAATACACTTACTGGTAAGCAGTAATACTTATATTTGAACACTTACATACGTTTGTTTATCGTTGATGGCTTTCTTATGTTATTGTTTTTTTTTTTATTATCTATATGATTTTTTTCAATAGGCGTATGGAGTAATCCTTTAAAAGAATTTAAGAATAATAAGGATCCTGAGCTGAAGGTTTTGTTAGCCGTTGGTGGTCAAGATTATGCTGTTAGACGAGCTAATGAGATGATGTCAAAAGATGATTCACGTCAAAAATTTGTTATTTCAACAACAAAACTTTTACGAACACATGAATTTGATGGAATCGACTTAAATTTTGAACCAAATGAAGCATTAGGACCACCATCATCACCTAATTTACAATTAATTGAAGATAAAAAAAAATTATCAAAACTTTGTAAAGTAAGATTTTATATACGCGACTATAAAATTTGATTTTTTTTAAAAATTTACAAGGATCTTCAAGAAGAATATGCTGAAGAAGCTAGTAGAACGGGACGAACACGTTTATTACTTACAATTACTATATCGGGCATAAAAGAGCAACTCGAATCACGTTTTGATTTACAAGAACTTGCAAAGTTAGAATTTCATTCTTGTTCTTTTCCTCCTTGATTCTATTTGTTTATATACTCATATAGATGTACTGATTGGCTTAACGTTCAAACATATGATTATCGAGGTTCACGCGATAAAATTGCTGAACATCATAGTGCTCTTATGCAAGCAGCAAATGCTGAAGATGACGAAAAAGATTTAAATCAGGTTTGTATTAGTATTGTTTATTTCAATAGATTCAATATTTTGATTATAGGATTCGGCAATTAAATATATTGTTAATAGTGGTATTGAACCATCAAAATTATCACTTGGTTTACCAGCATTTGGCAAAAAGTTTCGTTTTACTAGTGATTCACGTGATATTGGAAGTTCTGCTACAAGTGTAGGCAGTGTGGCTTACACAGAAGTAAAAAAAAAAGATTACAAGTTTCACATGAAACATTTGTTTGGAATTTTCATTTAATTAGCTTTGTCGTAATACAATGTCTGGTTGGCAACGAGTTTTTCTTGATGATCGTAAAGTACCCATAATGATTAAAGGTCAGTTCTTCGAAAGATTTTTATAGTTATCGAGGGAATCTTTTCGAGTCTTCCTTTTCGATTTTAATATTTTTTTGTCGATACATACTGTGTAATTTTTTAATACGAAATCGAAAAGAACTTGCAATTGTATTGAACTTTGACTAGACTATTTAATTGTTCATATGCCTACTTTCTAAAAGTTCTAGATTTTCGAAAAACTCGTCTTTTTTCAAATTTTAATCTGAAATTTTGCGCATAGAGAAAGTTTGACTAGACTAGCTTTCATAAGAAAATTCAGAAATCTTGAACAAAGTCTATCGGGATATGAAGCTTTCAAAAAATATATGTTGTACACATTATGCATGTAGAAGGGTCTTCATTTTGAAAGTCTCATATATCGAAAAGACTTTGTTCAAAACTTCTGAATTTTTTTTCCGAAAAACCTGAGTTCTACAACGATCTCTCGTAAATAGGCATATTTTAAATTGAATAGCTTAGTCCATTCTCAATAGTAACTCAAGTTCGTTTGTAATTTTATTAGAACACTATGTAACATCCTATGAGCAAAAAGATTATTAAAATTGAAAGGAAACACCTGAGATGGTTTAGTCGTCAGTGTAATTTTTTTCCTAGGCGATGAAGTAATCGGTTATGATGACCTCCAAAGTATGGAACTTAAAGTAAGTAAAAATTTTAGATAGAAATTTTTATTTTAATCTTTTTTAATAGATTAATTATGCTAAAGACCAACGTCTTGGTGGTATTGTTATATATCCCGTTAATTTTGACGATAGTTCAGGTCAATCATGTAATCAAGGCAAATTTCCGATTGTTTCACTAGTAAAACAATTAACATCGAATTATACTGTTTCATGTTTACCACCTCCAACACAACCTTCAAATACAACAATAGCATCACGAAATCGAACAAAGAACATAACACCAAAATGGAAATTAACACGTACAGACTATTTAAGTTCAGGTTTAGGATTACATAAATTGCATCGTAGAATAAACAATTCTGCTTATATAATACGATCAATGTATACAATTGAATATGTTCTATTTAGCTTTTTATTTTTTCGTGTATAAATCATGTTTAAGAAAGAAAGAAACAATATATTCTCTAACAAAGAAAAAAAAAACAAGATTATTTTTTTTAATTTAGAATGACACGCATTTGTTCTTTATCTTCTTTTGATAAACATATATAACTTTCACCTTGAGTTTGAATACAAAATTCATTTTTTGATGAACATGAATTTTTTAAACATGTGTGACGATATTCACATAATGTACCATAATAGGATTTTGATGTTGAACATAAACATTGATATGTACCATATTGGTCTTTAATACATGTACCATTATTTCGACATAATTTATATTGATCACATTCAGATGTTATATTACAAAGTGAACAATATTTTGGACACATTTCAACAAAGTATCGACCTTCAATCATAGTTGAATATTCAGTACACCAATTTTTAACTTTTTTTTTTAATTTAGAATAAGCTTTAATCAATTGAGAGCAATCAGCTGAATCAATACATGTATATTTATCGAAATTTTCAGGTTTGATATATTTTCGAGGTTTTAATGTTGTTGTTTGAATTTTTTTTCCAGGAGTTATTTTTTTTGTTTTCGTTGAAGACATCTCTTCTGTTGTCTAAAACAAGAATTTTATCATCAAATTTAGTTTTCAAAATTTTTTACTAAAAAAAAAGTTGTACTATTACATAAAGTTAGTGGTTTTTAATCTGGAAAAATATATTTGCAAATTTTCGTCATAGTAATTAGGGTGTGGTTTTTGGAAAATACATAATATTGCTAGAAAAAATTACATAGTTAGTTTTGAGTTTTAAATCAAGATTTTGCGACCTTCTTCGCTGCAAAGCTCAGAAGCCAATGATTCTATTTTCTCTATTAACAGACAGGATAGGAAGACGAGGAGAACCAACGATTTCTAGGTATATTTTCATAGCAACCGAGGATGACAAGGGTCAGACAGCTCTTTGGCAGTGAGAAAAGGTTCTAAACGGTGTTAATGACAAAATTTTGATTGTTCTAGAAAATTCCTAAGCCTTCCTCAAAATTTGAATGACTGCAAAACGTTTGTGAATGTTCTAAATAGTGCAGTTTTTGATTTTTGTGCAGATAAAAATTTATATTCTCAAGATGTAAACGATCATTCATTTACCACAATCGTTCAATGATTGACATAAAACGCGTGAATCAATATAATGGATATGTACAATAGACTTATTTGTTAGTTAAGTCCATGGTTAGAATAATGATGTTAAGTTAAGAAAAATGGAATATGAAAATAGAAAACATCGAGCGAATAACAACAAGAGGAAGAAAAGTTTTTTGTGTAAAATACAGAATTACATAACACAGAATGTTTTCCTGTGGATTTTAGTAAAATACGCTCTCCGTCGCTCTGAGCACTGTTTCATTTGACAGTTATACCAATCGATAGAACTTGATATTTGGAGTCTACTGGATCCCACTCTGCACCAAATGCTCAAACAAAATGTTCGATACCATTGGAAAACAACTAGTCTGTTTCAAAAATTTTTTACTTTAAATATTTCATACTAGTGTAATAAGGCTAAATAGTGCTTGTGATTTGCATATGTAAGTCATAAACGGGTTGTGCTAACAAGCTTTTTCTTTAAACAAGATTTACCATTATCATTGTAGTTACAGTAGTCGTAGTAGTTGAAGGTGGCGGTAGATGAGGGCAGTGACCACAAGTATACGGACATAATTTCTTAACAGGTTCTCCATTAATACGAAGAAATGCCATTGAACAATATTGACTAAACATGGAACATTGCGAATTTTGATCACCACATTCAGATATTAAATGTCTAAAATGAAAGATATAAAACAACCAATGTATTTCTTTTTGTTTGTCTTTTTTTAAATTAATTTAATATTTAGTTTTTATTTACTTTTTACATTCTTCACAACATAAACGTCGAAACGGTAATGTTGACTCATAACATAGATATGTCACGTTCATACCACGAGATCTTAATAGATTAAGTGCATCAGGACAAAGCATATTGCCCGTTCTAGATTTATCTGCTAAATATAACATGTGAATAGGTACAAATAAATCTCCATATGGACAAATATCTAAATCAGTTTGTTTCATTGTTTGATTTGTTAATACACATTGTTTTTTATGACATACACGGTTTTCACCACATGAAGTTCCTATATAACCGTATAGAAAATGTATTATATAGAAAATCTAATAAACAAACCATCAAATGCTCCATCTTGCCAATACATATATTCATCCTCTGGAGTTTTAAAGCATTGTAATTGATTACAAATATTTTCTTCATATAATGTTTGATTTTTACTGTTATATATAATAGAAATAAACGGAATAGCTTGTGGTCCATATTGCAATTGACATTGTTGACGAATATTAACTATTTGTCCTAATTTTAATGAAGTAATATTGCGTATTTTTGCTAATTTTGTATCATTTTGTATATTAATTATTTTATTTTTCCAACATGTTGTTGTTGTATTATCAACAAAATTATTTAATTGATTAATTGAACATTCAGAAAAATACGGTACTTGACGACGATCAACTGTATTCATATTTTTTGGTGACATAATATATCGAAAACGAGGATGGTTACAATTATTTTCTATTTCATCATGATCTAAACCGAGATTGTGACCAAGTTCATGTGCAACAGTTATTGCCACAATATATGAATTTAAATCTTCTTGAATAATGGAATATCTAAATAAAGGTAAACAAGTACCTAATACATACGCTGAACCAGCTCCTTCAATAAGATCTAAACGAGTAAATGTTATGATATGATCAGCACCATTACGAAAAAATCGTTCATCAAATTTATTTGATGTATAAACTTGATGTAATGATTTGAGAAGACTAGTACTAATATTTGGTCGTAAATGCACATTATTAGGGGATTTTCGATAAGGATCTGTTAGAGATGATAAATTTTTCAATGATTCCCATGGAAGACGATGTTTATTTGTAGCAAAAATAATTTTTGATAAATGAATATGAACATCAAGTGTTTCATGAATTAATGATTGTTGATAAAGTTGTTCAACACTTGTAAATATATTTATATAGTATAATTTAAGTATTTCAATTGTTTCTAATTCGGTTTTATTTAACATTGATCGAAGATCATTTATAATGAGACTATCAATAAGAGCAGTTATTTCGAGATATAAATGACGAGATTTTTTAGGTATTGGTCTTGGTGTTGTTGCTGCTGTTGTATTTACTGTATCATTGATCAATAATTGAGTATCATTTTCAGCTGAAGGCACTGTAATATTTTCCATTGTATGAGGTAGAGAAACTGATGGTAATGTTGTTGAACTCATTTGTTCAGATGCTGGAAATCGTTCTTCTTCTTTTACTGAACTACTTATTACCATATCTGCCTCATCTATGTCACGTCGCTCACGATTGTTATTCCATTCAATAGTAACATATGCTTGCTTAATAATTGATTGCTTAGATCTAATAATATAAGCATCATTGAATGATCGTTTTGCTTTTGTTTGTCTAATAGACATAAGTGAAGATATATCATACAATGATCCATTGGATATTTGTACTGTAGCAAATAAAAGACCGTTGTTCAATGATGTGCGGTTGATTATACTTGCAAAACCATACAAATTTTCATCAGATTCTACATGATAAGTTTCAATAGATGATGAATGTGATGAATTTCTTATTGTCGGGGTATGATCATCATCAAGAATAATTACAGTTGGTAAATAATACTTTTGTTTATTCGATTTTGTTGTTTCAACAAATCGAAAATAATTATCAATACCATCAAGATTTAATATTAAATCAAACGATGATGAATTATTTGAAACTATTAAATTTGTACCGATTAGTAAGAGAAACAAGAATACTAACACCATTCTATTTGAATACAAATGATGTCAAGCAAATGCTTTATATACTTACGCAAAACAATATTTATTGCATAAGAAGTAATTCTTCTATTTAAGTACTATTTTCCTTCAAATGTATCAGTAAGTGTGTTGACAGCTCTGACATTTTTTCATAGCTTGCACATTCTTAATGTTATACTGAGTCATGGTCGTATCTTTTTCTATCTTAATCGATGACAAATATACGCAATAAATACAATAGTGCAACCGGAATTAGCTACGTTACATATATATATAGATATATCTTTTCTTTCCTTTTATTATATACAAAACGAAATATTCTAATCAACAAATATCATACGAATAACACTTGTTTTCTTTTCATTTTCATATATATGTAGACACTTTTATTTTGTCTGAACATATGAATGATCACTTGAATATGAACTCACATCACTCGCTAAACAATGAACTATTGTGATACCAATAAGCTACAGTGACAAAAGACAAACAGCTTATATTATGATATTGATACATCAACTAATCTTACCAAGGTAAAACTCATGAATAACACTAATCCACCATTCATTCCAAACATAAACTTCTCTTCAGCAAACTAAAATTAATATTTATCGTGATTATGAATATCGAAATACATAATTATATAAAATCATTTCAAAACTTACAGTTCTCTCAGCTACGTTTGATGTATTTGATTGACCCATAAATCCATCTACTTGTGCTACAAATATTTCATTGATTTTCTTCTATTATAACATCAAAAATGTTAAGTAACTCGAACTTACATGCAAAAATTATACCAATAATACCAGCCACAATTCCAATAATCATAAAAATACATAAACATAATTCAAACTAAAACAATTAATAAATATCATAAATACAAATCATTATTTTCGTTTTTCTTTGCACTCACCATTCTCAATAATACTAAACGTAATGTGAAAAAAGCAGTAAGACCCAAAACACTCATTAAAATACCTAATGATCCAATAATAACAAGAAGAATGCCAAAGCCTAACTCACGACGATAGATTCCATTTGAAAAACTATGTACGGTTTCAAGATGTGAAATAATAAGATGCCATGTACCAAGTACAATAAATGCTACTGATTCGACCGCAAGAAGAAAAATGAACAAAAGTAAAACTAAAATTATACAAAAATGTAATGGTCGTCCACGAATATTTGTTCTTGCTCTGTATTGATATTCAGGAGATTCATGTTGACTATCCATTCGTTTTTATTGAACAAAGTCGTCGTTCAATGTCGTCACAAGAATTGATTATGAATGTGAAATAAAATAAGTTGAACTAACGATAGAAGAGTTATGCAAAGAAAATGAGAAAGAGACAGAAATATGAGTGACAGAATCGGTAAAAAATGAAAACTATCACTACTGTTGGTAGTATTCCTGCTTAAGTAACTGATGATGTCGTGAGAAAAAAGAAAAGCTGTATACAATAGAACTGTTCTTCTTTCTGACTCGTTCTGTCTTTGCTGTACCTGAGTAGGTGAAAAATCGGTCAGATGAGCTGCTATTTTATTGATTAAAAGTGTGAAAAAAAAAGCGTGACAAAATATAATTATGTTGGAATGTGAGATATCACGCATATTTTGCTTCTGTTAATATTTTATATGTCTCTGGTTACATGAGAAATTCTGAATGTAGACTATTGTAGGACATCGCTCGATAATTCTTCTACCAAGTAGGATGCATCATTTTCTGCTTGGAATTTCGAGTTATGTGCGATAAAATAATTATGGATGTTTAGATGAGAAGGAAATATGAAGTCGGACTTAGAAAGAAATGAGAAATGTGTTGTTCTAATAGTGTAAAATTTATTTGATTAGCTTGAAATACTTTGTGAAGAATATTTTGAAGTTTTCATGAATATGTATATTGTAATAGGAAGAAAATCAATCAAAAGATGTGAATAGTTTTTCTATTGATTGTAAGACGAATTGAACACTTGAAAAATCATACCAACTTACAAATTGCATTTTATCAATTTGCTGCTATGAATTACTTTGTGATGAAAACATGTTTCATTGAAATTCTTAAGATGTGATAGAATTTCAGTCGATTCAATTTTTTTCAATTTATCATTGGTCACGATCCTACGAAAAAAAGATCATCTATCTAATATATTCCTTGATCTCAAATGATAATCATTATAGAAAATAAAAATTATGAATTTTTTCTTGAGTGTTGTTTAGTTTTCGATTTGTTTCTTATCAAATCGACTCTCAGTAGCTGAAGAGTAGATATGAAAGCGAAAATTCAAGACGAATATTTAAAACTTTATTAGCTTTTTAAATGTTCATTGCCAAATAAAGTAATTATAAATGTATCAAATTGTTTTGTGCTTTATTCACGAATAAATTTTTGAATGAGAAAGCCGAAGAAAAAATTTACGATGTATTGTTAATAACGAATTTTATCTTAAAATAACTTGGAGGAAATTAGAAACTTTTTTATTAATTCTGCTCATGAAATAAGTTTCTTATATTTAATAGGTAAGAAAAAGAAATTCATTAATTTTGATAGGAAACGTGTAAGTCATATACAAGATAGTAATGAAATTATTACCGTTACTGTTTCGTTTAATGCATTATAAGTTGGATCGTTCATTACACTAAAATTTACGTTATGTATAAATAGTTAAACTATATTACCTGAACTTATATAGGAATAAACTGTGCCAATTAAACTCAACTCATGTGCATCTCTACAAGTGTCAACTATCCATAAATGACCATTTGATGTAACTAGTCTGCAAGTAGTTGACGTTCTTAACGTTAAAGCAATGTTGACTATTATGTGTAGAACCAGTCATGATCTTTTTAATTGGACAGAATGTTTAATAATGTATGAATTAACGGCAATGACTCAGTTTATTGTGAGTGAATCATATTTCTCAGAAATCAGATAAATCCATTATGAAGTCTATGATAGAAAAGTTTGGTTTTTGAAAACTTGATATTCAAAAGCTTCTGGTCTGCTACTGAATGTCATCAGTTTTTGTATAAAACTACGATTTTGGCAGAATATAAGAAGTAAGGCAAAAACATAATTTTTAGCAAGTTGTGATTATAGGCTTAATCAAGACAGCCACAAGAGTTACGGTTACATCAACATGGCGAAATCCATTTATAAAAAAAAAATGAACATAAATAGTTGTTAGTACCTAACAAAATGTAGATGAAATGAATTAAGTAAACAGCTGGCGAAGTACTAAAAATCTCTGGTTTTTATTATTCTGTAAATTTCAATGAGGATTATATATGACATATTGTTAGTCTTACCGTAAGTCTATCTTTTATTCCATCATTGAGAATAAAAAAACTAAGAATAAGAAACACTCATTTGTATTTTACTTTAATCATCAATAATTATTGTGTTAGGAAAAACTCAAATTTTATTATAAACAAAAAAACTGGTTTATTTTATGATTACTATGAGAAAATCGTAGAAAAGTTTTTTTTGTAAAGTTTAATAAATGAGCTTTTTCTATTGTCGATGATATTGAACGTTTGTCTGGTGAGTTATTTGTTATTCTAGCAAAGTTTACTGTATGCTGACTTGTTTTGATTCAATGCTGAGAGATAAACGATGATGTGGATATATTTTAGGTATGATGAACATCACCCGTTGTTGAAATTTACTCATAGCGGAAAAGATTGATTTAGAAATTAAAAAAATGAAATGAAAATGTTTTTTTTTTGCAACGATTGATTCAGTTTTCGTTTGTTTATAGAGTAAGAAGCACGTTTCTATTGAATAGTAACATGAATAATATTAATGAATCATGTTTTTGGCGTTAATAGATAACGAAGTTAAATAAAAACATTTGAAAAACAAAATTAAAATAATGAACTTGTTTTTCTACTGATTATTGATGATGACTGGAGAGTTTAATCGTACATGAAATAAATTTTTGAACTTTTTCTCTGATAAATCAAGTACGAACGTCTTATTTCTTTCATTCAACATATAAGTTATCCACAATTCTTGAGATGATATTTTTATGAGGACAATTCATGACGTGTATTGCAGGAATAGTTGGTTTGTTCAAACTGTATTTATGAAAAGAGCAAAATGTCTAATGCAAATATATATAGAAGAACTTAATCGAAAATGTTTCTCCAAAGACTGCAAAAACCTTACAACAATAGATATTTGGAAATCTTTTCGCAACTTTTTTAAATTTAGAAAAAAACAAACCCAAGTCAAGTGTTATGTTTTAACTCGTTTTTCTACGTTTGGGACACATTGTTGCCAATTATTATTATTGTACTCAAAATATTCTGCGTCTATAAAAACAGCTGATATCTACGCTGTTACAACATTTTTTTCGCTTTTACAATATTTCACAACTGAAAATCGGAGTCGAAAAACTAAATTCTAGTCCGAAAGAAATACCTTCAAACGATGTACATTCTACATCAAAAGCGAGAGTTCATCGAGTCCTCTACTAAATGATATTATGTCTAATAAGACACCATTCCATTATGAGATATTTGAACAAAACTTTGTTTTCACTGTGTCTACGGCTGATTGAAGTTGCAATTAAACTATCTGTTAAATCAATTTTTTGTACGCTAGAAGAATCATCTTAATATCACACATGACAGCCTTCATTATAATAAACAGCTCAATACGTATGTATGGTGTTCAAAAAAGAAATTAAAAGAAAATAATCACAAATGTCAAACATATATATAAAAGTTTTGATACGCTTTATTCTAAGATTTTTGTGGTCTCCAGAAAATATTTCTGACACAAGTCTTTTATATATTTTTGTAATAGATATTTTGCTTGTTCTAACAAAAAGAAAATTTGAATGAAATCTCTACAATATTGCATTGTAACGCTATGTTACAGAAAAATCATTGATAGAAACCTTCATCAACATAGAATTCAAAAATACCATTTATTATGTTTTTATCACTTCTAAAAATCATTCATTTGGTAGCAGAATATTAAAAACAATTAAAATTAATTAGAAAAAAAAAGTGCGATTACAATACAAAAATATTTAATACCAATAGGCATCAGGGTAAAACATGTATACAATTAGCACGCGTCGAATGAAATGTAAGATCACAATTTTGCAAAATATTAATGTAAAATACTAACAGACAATATAATAAGAACAAAATCGTATACAAAAAAAGTCTAAAAACTATATATATTTCGTAATTAAATGTTTCTTGTTTATAAAATGGGATCAAAATAATTGATTGAAACAATAATAAGATCACAAATGTTCAGATACACATGATAAAGACCTGCTTGAAACCAAAAAAGGAAAAAAATAAACGAAAAGTATAAATCTATGTCTAGTGATATAAATCGTATAAACTGAAAATAATAAATAATATGATCAAAGATGAATATTGTTTTGAAGCAGCATTATGATAAAGAAGGCTTGTATCAGGATTGTAGACTAAAATAGAAGAAAGTAAATGAGAAAATATAATGCAGTAAAAAATACACTTACGTATCAACAAACGTCCATTGTCATCTAAAAGTAACGACAATTATAGAATATCAAGTCATATCAAAATTATAACTCACCAAATCGAAACTCTTTTGCAGGTGATGAATATTTTCCTTCACCACCAAGAGACCAAGCTTGTACACGTAATTTATAATTTCGATTTTTATGTAGATTATCAATCATCACTGTATACTGTGAACCGTCAACATAATAAATTGTTGCATTACGAATTGACTGATACTGTTCCCAAACTTTAACCTAAATAAATTTACTTCTATAATCAATGGAAAAATATGAATCGATTAGCTTCCAAAATCAGATCATATCACAAGATCTGTCCAAGAAGCAGGTCCTTCGATAGGAACTGATCAGTTCTAACAGTTCAGGTAATGGAATTGAAATGTACGGAAAATTTTGTTCTATTTTGAGAACGGTATTTCAGTAACAGAACAAAGACTTTTAAACGTGCATAGCAATTTTCAAAAACAGAATAGTGGTTCTTTTTTTATACTTGAAGACAGAGATGAAGTTAGTACCGGTCAACTATCCAATTTCACGTAGCCGAGCCAGTATTGGTACCAGTTATTAAAAAACTCAGATTGGTTTCATCTCTGCTCGGAAGTACTATCCCCAAAAAACATAACCAACATTGTTCGAATAGATGAATTCACGCTCTGAACTGATGAAATAGATCAAAGAAGCTTTTTAACAGTTCTTCAGATCCGAACTA